CTCCTGTATGTCTGTTCTGTCTGTCTGTCTGTCTGTCTGTCTGTCTGTCTGTCTGTCTCTTGTATCTGATGCATGTCTATCGGCCTCTCTCTCTCTCTCTCTCTCTCTCTCTCTCTCTCTCTCTCTCTCTCTCTCTCTCTCTCTCTCTCTCCCTCTCTCTCTCTCCCTCTCCCATGTGAACATCCTCCCCCTCGCTGTGTCCCTCGTCGTTCTGAAAAGCCGCCTGTTATCTCGTCTCCCAGCCACCTGCATCTTGTCGCTCTGTCCGGTCCACTGACAGTCTCCGCTCCATTCGATCGTACCCAGCTCTGTCTGAAACGATCTATCCACCCGACTCCGCGGGAGATCCCACCCCGCGGGGAACCTCTTCGTTCTCTGATGAGCGACCACCAACGGGCGGGCGTGGCGGCTGGTTTCTCAGGGATGTAATCACGCTTCTCTTACGAGCCGACCGGGGAGAGACAGACTCAGCGTGTCTCCGGGAGACGGTGAGAGACACACGAGGTGTGTCTCCGAGGATACGACGCTGTATCGTGGATAACATTCACCTTATTACGTGTCCTATTCCTGTCAGTATACGGGACGGGACATATGAAACCGGATTTGAGAAGGGGACGGGATGGGACAGAAAGGGGGACTGCACACGGGAGGAGAAAAGATGAGACCAGAGGCTGCACGGACTGAGACATAACGAGACATGATTAGATGGGGATTGGAACGGGAGGAGACGGGACAATACCTACAGACTAACCACTTGAGCTGAGCTAGAGCGGGTACAGATCTGGACGTGATGGGATAGACTGTAGCCGACCCACCCGCCGCCTAACGAGGCGAATATCGGTCCCCCGCCGACTGATGACGCCCGGTCACGTGACCGACCGCCGGCCGGGATTAGAGGGATCGGCGCCGCCACTGGCGGGCTCGTTAGCCGACCGACCGTCATCAGCAGCGGCGTGATCAGCGTCATCAGCGCCGGGATCAGCGTGACAGGCGTCATCAGCTCAGCAGGCTGCCGGCACGAATTAGCGTCAGCGGCAGCAGCGCAGCAGAGGATGGCGGAGACATGGGCTCGACGCCGCTGTGTAGGCGTTGCAGAGAAGATGACATATCAGAGGATGTCATCAGGGTCAGAGCCCGACCCGCATCTCATCATGACAGTCCATCGGTCGAGCCCGACAGACGGACGAGGGGCTTCATCACAGCCTGCTGCACATCAGTGACATCATGTCCCAGATCAGACCCACCCCGTGCTGCGTTTCTCTGAACGTGTTCGAACGTCACGTCACGCCGTCACGTAACGGCCGAGTGCCCTCCGACAGAGACCGTCACACACAGGGGAATACAGCTGCTGACCAGCCGAGCACAACATACCCCACCCGGGGCATTCCTAACTCACAGATACCGCTCCTGGCTCCAACACCGCGCTACTGGCATTTGGGGCGACATGGCCCAGGGGACCGAGACCGGAACCCCTGCCCCCCCCCCCCCCGGCGAGGTGACGAGTCACAGGTCCGGTGTCACAGCGGTCCATCACCGCCGGCTCCCCGCTGTTTTCCATTTCCGGTGCCACAGCCGACGTGTGTGTGGGGACCTGGTTCTTCCCTGTACCCCCGGAGTGATGCGCTCACATAAACCAGCCTCCCCTCACCAGTGGCCCAGGCTGGACTGATGAGACATTGGGGACTAGCCTGGTCGTCCATTGACCCAAATCGACGCTGCTCTCGGCACGAGCACGGCAGGGGAGAGCAATAAAGATCGCCCCCGAGACAAGGAAGCCATGAAGTCGAATCCATTGATTCTAATACAAACTTGAAGTCTGCTGCCGGCTTCGATCGCGTTCTTTTCAGCACCCAGTGATTTCATAGTCTGCGGTTTGGTCAAATGTCAAATGATGCTCCATTACTGAGAGAGCGATTTCTTGTTGAAATTATGCCTTAACCCTCGCCGGCACAGGCCATTTTGAGTCCTTCGACGGCACAAGGGGGGGGGGGGGTTGGTACGACCCCCCCCTCGCGTTTGGCCCCTGATCGAGCTAGAGCTTCGCGGAAAAAACGAGCGTGTTGCCCGTCACGAGAGGAAGCCGATGATACTCAATTTTAAGGTCCTAGGTCATCGGGTGACCTTCCAGGTCAGGTCAATGACCCGAAAACCGGGAAAATCGGGACCTGTTAGAAAGTCGTAAAGTGTGGCTGCCATGTGGTTTTCCGGGGTGCTGATCACGAATATCGTGTTAGTTTTGATTAAGCATTTAGACCAGGTCGGGTCAGGTCAGGTCAGGTCAACCGGTAGGGGTTGTGACGGGTATTCGTAATACGTGTCAACCGCCTCGGACAGCTTCGTAACATGTTACGAAGGCACCAAAACTACTTCGTAAATGTTCAAATGGTTGCTAAATTCGAATTCAGCTCCAAAAACTAGCCTAGAAACATGTAAAACTCGAAAAAGTGAACCGAGGTCACCCGAGGTCACCAAAGGTCAATGACCTGACCTGACCTTCAGGTGACCTTGACACCCACCCTAATGCATGGGAGCAACATCAAATCACATGTTTGAACGTTTGAAACCACGAAAAGCTTGCAAACGCGCGGCTAATGCGAGCCGACATGCGCCGAACCGCGATTTCGGCCAAACATGGTCACATAAAAGAGGTCACAGGTCAAAGGTCATTGGGGTCAGGGTCATGAAATTTTCAGGGTAGGTGTACAATTGATCAATGCGAAGGTACTGAAAGTTTCGTCGCGATCGGCCGCTTTTTACGCGAGTTATTCGCGAAAAACCTTAGGGGCGGGGGGTTGCATCAACCCCCCTGTGCCGGCGAGGGATAAACTGGGATTGAAATGAATGGTAAAGTCACGAATTCATTAAAAAATCAACTTTAATCCAGCCTTAGCCGTTCTGGTCGAATCAAACACGAACCGGCACCGTAAAGAACACACTCCATAACCAGCAAACATAACGGCCCGCAGCCTTTATCACGATTTAATCGGGCCCACGCTCTACAAAACCGTTACCCGTATCGACACCGTCTGTTTCCATACTAATGGAACAAGCCGTACCATCATCGATGACGAAACACGCGATACACGATCGCGCCAGCGCCGCGTATCCATTGTTAACCAGCTCGATAGAACCGCTAAAGGTGGCCAGGGTTCCAACAAGCCTGGGACTGCTAGCAGGTGCTCACAGATGCGAACAGTCGTTTGCCAATGCCCGGTCCTGTTCGATTCTCCATAAGGGTTAGATGAGATACGGGCTACAAATCACTCACTGGTGAATAAGTCGGATGTCAGCTAGCCTGCCGAGTGATGTGTTGACGGTGTTCAATAAAATAGGCAGACGACGTTCTCGCTGGAAGACTCATGTATGCCGACTACAGATGCCTTCTATGTGTCCCAAGTCTCCTTTTACTGAACGGTATGACGTCAATCGACTACCGCTGCCTACTGTCATCTCTAACGTTTCTCGGCGGCTAACCGTCCAAGTTCCCTTCCTGAACAACTCGCCACAGAAGTTCGACCCGCTCGCCTGCTAACTTTGTAACGACACGTGCACCGTTGTTCACGGCGTGACTCACGACTAAGCTTGACGAGTTGACGCCGTCAACCACAGCGGGTGACTCAGAGGTCAGGAAGGGTTACGGGGGTCGGGAATGGGTCGGCAGGGCCTAAGACAGTGTGGCAGTGACCAGGGAAGGACCGGAGGGTATAGGGAGGGGCCTCAAGCGCAGGGGTCGCAGAAGGAATAGAGAAGTCGTTGGGCTCAGGGGAGGGTTTCGGGGGTCGGTTGAATCACGGAGGGCGGGAAGGTGTCGTATGGGTCATGGCCACCCCTGCTGGCCACCTGCGCTGCCATGTTGTGCACTTCAAGATGCGCCCAGTGCTGGCTCAAATGGGACTTGAATACCGGTTAGCACCGCGTTTTGTGCCCAGCGCTAAACCTTTACGAGTGAAAACTCCGCGCGATCGGAGTCCTCGAGCCTTACAGCGGCGGCTCTCTCTGCGCTTTGTCCGCCCGTCTCAGCAGCGCGCGTTAGCAGCTCATTACCGAGGCGCCAACAGCCGCTGGCAAACGACGGGCGCCAACAGGCCGCGTCGGACAAGTGTCGTTAGCGATGCGACGACGAAATTCGGCTCACGATCCTGCCGAGTGTCCGGCGAGAAGTCTCGTCGTCCGCACCTGCCCGCTAAACTAATTAGGCGCATGGGACGGCCGCCGGAGGCCCTCGGAGTTCAGCGGGTCCCGTCCGTTACAGGCGAGCTATCCAGTCACCCGCCGCACCGCTGGAGGTTTTTGTACGGCGCGATGGTATCGCGGCGTTTTAAATGAGCTGCCCGCCTCTTTCATTCGCTGTCCGGTGCCGGCAAATCAGTCATGTCGGCTGTCGAGCGCAATTTATGTCGGCTGTAGCCGGCGAGGTGTGCCGATGTCGGGATATGTCCCGCTGTGGTCCGTCTCTGCGGTCTGAGCGCCCGCCGAGGCAGCCGTAAGAAGGTGCAGCCCCTCAGAGTCGCAGAGCTAGGTTGGACGGCGTGTTCCAGATGCAGTGAGGTTTCCCCAGCACCAGGAAGACGCACCGTCCGCACGTCTCGACCGACACAGAGTCGCGTCCATCCGGCCGGCGGAGACCGTAATGGAGGCGCCTTGTCGGCTTCCGTGCAGCGCTGTTCCGGGTCTGTCCGAGCCCTCCCCGGCCCCTACCCCTCCCCCGCACGCCATCCGCGTCCCCGGGCGCCCTCCCGAGATCCAGTTAGCTGTAATCCCCCTCCCAGTCCCCTGCAGTGCGCGCGAGCGCGGCCCAAATCCACCACGACAGCCATTAGTTGGGCAGAACCGCTCCCCGTGTGCCACTAAATTCCCGCCCATTTTATACCTCTATCTGCGGCACCAATCTACTTCGCCCCGGATCAGCTGTAGACCATAAACCGTCACATAAATAACCGACAGACGGGGCATCCATCTTTTTTACCTCGTCCCGGCTCGCCCACTGAAATACTCACGGCGGCATTAATACAAATTTTATTCCATCTCTGCAAAAGCTCTTTGGCCGTCGATCAGGCCATACAAAAGCGGCCATGCAGTCGAACGTCGTTAATACATACAGCAGGCGCGGCTGGTTACAGCAGCGGCATTCAGACGAGCCAGCAACACTGCCGACGGCGGACACCCACTGGGCACACACAGACACACACACACACGCGGCGCGGCAGGTCGACATACGTACACAGTACACAGAGTCACCGGCCGGCCGTCACGGGCCACCGTCACGGCCGTTACAGACCGACCGTCACATCGGCGGATAGAGATCAGACGGGCTGAGATCATACGGAGCGGCCCGCGGGCGGCCGTCGCCTACCACATGGAAGACCTACACGGACTGGTACACCGGCGCTGACACCCACCCACTCACACACAGACACAGTCACATCCTTAGGAGCGGCACACTGTGGTGACAATTGGCCTAGATCACAGGGAACGGAGCTATACGAGGGCTCGAGGAGGAGGCTGCGGCGGCTGCGGCAGCGGCAGCGACTAGACAGCCTCGTGACTGGTACGGATCTTGGTGCCCCCATTCCTGAAACGACAGACACGCGTCGTTCAGTTGCCAGTCGGCCAGAAGGCAGGCGGTTATGAGTGATATGAGGCGGGAGAGATGCCAGGGCTGGGAGCGTAGCAGCTGAAGCGGCGTAGCGCAAACTGCTTCAGAACAGGGCCAGAGAGCCAGTTGAGGCGGACAACGCCGGGCGGTTCATGTACTTTTTTGATATGTAGGAGCAGAGCTTCGTGTATCAGGCAGAACTAAAAACCCAAAGAACGACACCTACCCTCAAGAAAACATTTAACGGTCCGGTGTGGTATTTTACACACCTCCACAACAGACGATATTCATGAGAGGGTAAAATGACTGTACACAGCTGGATCGCGCGGCCAAGAAACGTCTTCTTCCCAGCCAACAGACGCCCATATGGAGTCCTCAGTTTGGTTAGTCTCAGCCTCAAACAATCTGGAACATGTTCCAGACCGGCCAACAACTTACATGAACCGGGATTCCGGAGACGGGTCTCAGTCTACCCCGACGCAGTCCAGATCCCGCCTGACCCGACTCGACACAGTCCAGCCAGATCATAGCTGACCCAAAGTGACCCCAGCTGAACAGCAGCCTGTGATGACATGCAGTGACTCTTAGTGACCTGAGGTCACATCTCCTCTATGCTAACAAACTGCCAGGAGGCGTCCATTAAAGATTACCGGTGTTCTTGGGGAGATGGTTATGCCCGATCGAAGTCGATTTTCTCATTCACCAGTAAATCTCCCTCAAGGAGACCAGCCATTACCGCAAACCAGAGAAATATCATCGTTAACAACCACACACCAAACTACAGAACCTAACCAAACCCCGTGCAGTTGAAGCCCTGACAAGCAGCTTACCGTCAACAATCTGCCATTTCGGACCATACTGGTGGCATTCGAGCGGACGTCGTAAAAACGGCGTGATAAGCGCCAACTAAATCCCCGCGCCGGTAATAGCCCGATAAAGCTGGCAACCAGCTGCGAGCCACGAATGTTTTCGATAAGAGCGGCTTTTGTTTGGCGCTTTTTGCGCCCGGCACTAGATACAGGTGGTCGGGGAATTTCGGCCGCAGCCGCTCGGAACCGTTGTTTTGTTGGAGGTGGTTTGTTACTCAGTTTGGGACCGTTGTTTTGTTGAAGGCGCCCTGTCAATTTGTCCAAAACTGAGCGGCCCAGACAATAGTCCTCGAGTAAACCACCACGCAGCTGCGCCCCCGCTATTTTAGAAGGTCGTCAATGGTTGCAGGAGCGGACGGAAATGCCGTCCTGGCTTGCCTTCATCGTATTTCAAAGTTTTCATTACGTAACTTTAAGTTGCCATGGCTAACTTTTCACCATCATCCTTTCGCTTACAACTCACTGGCATCCTTTATTGCCATCAATGCATGAGTAGAAACAGCTGGTGAGAACAACCAATCTTCCATTTTCGGTGGTCAATCAGTGGATAATTGTCATTCACTGCCATTCGTACCCCATCAGTGGGTATTAGTCAGTAATCACCAGCAATCACCAGCATCAGCTGTTAGGATATTGTCGCAACGCGACAGTGCAGTCCCCACCCCTAAGGAATTGCCACATAAATTTGTTTTCTGATATCGTTCCTATCGGAGGAGACCCAAGCAGCCCAAAGCTTCCCATCCCAGGGCCTGTGCCTCAGAACAACTATAACAGAAGAACACTACGTCACCGCCGCGATTAACCGGGCCAGCTTACACCTCTGTGACTCACCTGATTACAGCTTACCACACCACAACTCATCTAAGCACAACTCACAATCTGACTCTCCAACTCACCTGAGCAGCTCACCCCGACTCTCCAACTCACCTCAGCAGCTCACCCCGACTCTCCAACACACCTGAGTAGCTCGGCGCCCGCCTCGGAGCCCACACTGGGCATCCTGGTCCGCAGTCTCTCCGGCCGGGAGGCGTGGACCGAGCCGACCCTGGTCAGTGTGCCCATCTGAGGCGGACCGCCAGCCTGCATCCGACCCAGGGCGTTCATGTAGTCGGCGATCAGCAGTGTCAGCTCCAGAATCTGACGACAGGGGAGGGGTTACAGAGATGAGTGGGGAGGGGCGGGGTTGATGGGAGAATAAGAGTGATAGCGAATATAAATAGATGTGGGGCTGAGGTGTGGGTTAAAAGAGACAATATATGGGTGGACGATGGCGTATGGATTACGGATACGATGAAGGGTCGGCTACAGATTGGGTGAGCGAATGATAATGTCGAGAAGCAAGAGGATGGCAGGCTAGGACGATAAATCGAAAATCAAGCGATTATTCCAGAAAACGAGAGGGACGCAGTACAAGACTTCTGGTTTATCGCAGCTACTGAGAAATAATAATTTGAACGAAGGGGAGACGGAAGAAAAAGTGCCGATATCAGGAGCAGAGACAGAGACAGAGAAGACGCCCGACACAGAGGATTGTATCAGACCCTGACAACCGCGAGAGATGGCATGATGACAGAACGATGAGGGTTGTCGGTCTGGGACCTGAGCATACGCCGATTACTGGATATGTATCAGCACGGCGACCGAGGATAACCACACCGGAACAACTATGTAGACAGGACACTGCCACCGGCTCGGTTGGCCAGCATCCATGCAGATCCAAAAGCAGGCTAGCCCAGACCCGGCCATGTCGGCCGGGACAGGAGTGGGCCGTGGCCCGTGATAACATGTACCCGTGGCAGACAGCCCAGCGGCTGGCCGGCCCAAGCGAGAATCGTTAGTCCGCCGACCTCACCTCATTTATCAGACAGACATTTTAATGAGCTCGTGCACTAATTAAGCGTACAGACCAGGCGTGGAAGTTACCCCATAAAAACACATCAGATTTCGGGGAGCTCTGGGGCAACATCAGCCTGATGGACGGACAACAGGATCAGTGGGGGGAATCACGCAGATGCTATGTTACATGGAGGGTAATATCAGACCAGCGGAATAAGGGCGCCCCGGGGTGCCGCGTCATTAAGGGACGGACGGAACCACGATAGCAGAGCGCTACACAGACACATAGAATGAAAATACAGACACCGGGGTACTAAACCCACAGATACAGACCAGTGTACGGGTTGCTCAGCAAGTCGTGCCAACCATTTACTCGGGTCTCGGTAAGTGCGTCGAGCCGTGATGGGAAGATTGTGATTATCCAGTATAAAGAGCGATCGGAACCGTTCCGCGCCGATCCACCTATCATAGATTGGACCCTGGCCTGCCGGCCGGCTAAATGGGATTATAACGAGCGCCCGCGTGGGTATCAGCCGCGCCGGAATGGGTGGACCGGGAGTGTTTGATCAGCTTGGAGCGCGTTCCGCCGGCGCGGCTGATGGCGACCAGCGGTCTATAATCGGCCCATATCATTACCGTCAGGGGCGCGGTCCGTCTAACCATTAACTACGGACGCCGGCGGCGCTGTGGAATGATGGAATTCCGATGGGTTCTTGTCATTCAAACCGCTCTGCGGATGACTGAATAGAACTCTCCGAGCCAAGAGTACAACTGGAGCGTATAATAAAGGAGGACACAGAGCCCAATCTATCGGCACACAAGAAACACATCAATCCTCATGCTATCTATCGCACTTAACGAGCACATAAAAATCCCATCAAGCCGGGATAGGGCGGGCTGAGCGGGGAGAGTTCTCTCCCTAGCCCTCCGTTGTCATCTCCCCCTCCCCTCCCTCCCCCGCTAATGACACAAAGCCGGCCGTCCGGCGGAGGTTCGTCAGTGTGCCGGACGCGTGCCGGGCGCGGCGGTAGCGGTCCCTCGGACACCTGTTCCCCCACATACGGTCCACAGGGGCGGCGGCACCTGACGCCTGACGCCACGGGGTGCCATGGGAGAGGGGCGAAGGAAGGGGAAGGGAAGGATGGACGAATACGCCGTGGGTTGCAAAGTAGAATTGCAGTGCGTTTAGCGGGCACTGGTGTGAAACTATCGAGAGAATAAAACACGGAATAATGACGGGGTGGACGGATAAGATACCGATAAATACACAAGAATGCATGGATGGATGCATAAGCGAATGGTGCCAGATGAGCACCCAGGACACAGTCAGACCCGCAGCAACACACAGTTAAAAGCGGATATACTGCCGCCACAGGGCCGCGACATCGGCATCCTGGCGTGACGCTTCTCCGGGGGCAACACCTCACGTGTATCGGCCGTCTCCCGACCTTTTCACAGACGGAAACAGACGGACAGACTGCCGGCGACCGGACGATGAGGTGCTCCGACCCCGGTAGTGGCGGGGTCCGGCGACCTCTTCAAGGGTACCCACGATGCCCGGTCATTGCCCGACGGGCGGCTGACCACCTCGGGCCATGTGAGGAAGGGATTAGAGAAGGATAGGGTGGAACAGAGATAATGAATTGAGAAGAAAAATAGAATAAGAAATTGATAAGAGAAAACAACAAATATTTCCGAGGAAAAGGACAATAACGAAGATACTTATGCACGGATAAGTTAAACAAACAGAAAGCAGTTTTCTTGCTGCTGTGACCCGCGTTACTCACCTTGGGTTTGGGCATGTTGAAGAGCAGCTTCTGGGTGGTGGCCGCGTCTGAGCTGCCGTTCTCCGAGACGACCAGCATGAAGTCGTCCTGGCAGCCGCCGAACGTCACCACGCTGGTGTACTGGTACCTGAAGAGGGGGGAGACGTGGTTACTGACGTGGTTTCTGACGTTATCACATTATTACGTACGTGATTAGTGACTATTGACGTGTGGACATGAAAGGGTGTTGTGGCAAGTAGCGTTGTTAATGATGTGGTTACTGAAAAATGTCGAGGGTTGACGCGGTTACTGAAGAAATGACGTTAATAATGCCGTAGTTACTGACTAATAACGTATATACTAAAGCATCTACCGAGAAAGATAACTACAGCGTTTTAATGGCAGCTGCTAAGGAGTGACGTGATTGCCGATCACGTAGTTCGTCATAACTGCCGAGTGCTGGGCGTTGTAAAAGTAACGCCATCAATGACGTATATCAATCCAGGAAAGGATTGACAGAGATGACATGGATTAGTACCCGCCAAGCCACTAACATTGTGTAACCTGAATGATTCACAATTCCGGTAGCATGTATCTTGCAGACGGTCCGACCACAATCTGCACTATTCAGCCACTTGACAATTCCCGGCGCCTGCATTTTAACCCATCGCATGCTTGAATGACTGCAAATGGGAGTGTGAGTCAGGATGAATGTCGGATTGTCGGGCCCTTTCCTGCCGCATGACACGGCACATCGCAGCGCCTGGCGCCGCGAGTCGGATGTGGATGATAGTTACTTAATCCAGTGTCACAGTGTACCGCTGCCGGAACTGCGGCCAGTACCGGTCCATGACCTGCCTCCCGGTCATCTCCGGAATGGGGTGAGCTTTGACATGGATGCAGGCACACGGATACGGACACGGGAGAGGAAACGGATCTGGTGCTGGCCAAAATGCCAGAAAAGCATCCAAACATAGCGACACCCAGCTATGGCTTGGCCGAACATAAGTGCATTCACTATCTAACCATTCAAATAACAGCCCCCGAACACAAGCGCATTCTGGCCAGTCAACCTCAGCTGAATTAAACCATCCCCGCTCGTCTCGAAAACAGCTAAGGTATGACCCAAGGAGCCTACAGTTAACAAATTCCGGGCAGAGCTATTGCTCTAGACAAATGCCCGGGTTGTTGCGCTGGGCAAAGACCCCGTGCCTCACGACACCATCGTCCATAGGCATACAGCGGCGCACTTTGTACCCGATGACGTCATTGCCGGCGCTGGGCACTGCTCGCCAATGACAATACCGAACTAATTGAATTAGTCTATTGATTTTTCGAGCAGCCCCGTATTGACCGAGCAAATTTGCGGTCGGTGCTCGGAATACGGAGCGGTGTGCTGTTGGAAGTTGACACCCGGTATGCACTCAGCAAAGAGCCGCCCAAGAATGGGGGACCAAACTCCCTGGGTAAATACTGATGTTATACGTCGGACGAAGTGGAAAGGTCAGTGACACGGCATACGCTCCGAGGGCAGAGCGAGGGGCGACAGTTCGGGTGGCAATGACGATTCTTCACCACCACGATCGACCTATACGCCTTGAAAGGACGCATGTCGCGCAAGTATTGCTCCAGCCCGTCGCGGTCAGGGAAGTCTGCCACAACTTCAACCTTTAACTATACCTAACAGCGACTTCGGTCTAAGTCACCTCCCCGGGAAGGGTCAACATACCAACGTTCCGCGTGGACCCAGACCGCGGGCCAAGCCCACTCAGGCCCCAAACACTCTCCGAGCAGACAGCTGGTCTGTGCAATATACAAACCCCGCCGGCCAGCTGCGGTGTTAACATTGCACGCCTGCCGACGGTATATACAGTTACGCCGCCTGGCATGCAATTATGGTCAGAAGGTTATTAATCTTATGCTCGGCACTTCATCACTCAAAATGCATCAAATATTTTATGGAATGTAGCTGCATAATTGAACATGAGATCAGATGTTAACAGTCACTACACATCTCAAAAGTGTCCAAAAACTTCACAGACTTCACAAAATATCACATTTCAGGATATTGGTTAGATCCTATCCCTAATCATTAACATTATCCCAATAAGTGAAGCACATGACCAAATACCACAGGCGGTCATTACGGAGAGCATCTGCCGGGTGGATTCCCGTGTCAATTAACATAAAAATTAGCATCTTCTTCCAGCACACCGCTGGTAAATGATACCAGAGCACGGCACAGGCGGAGACACCTGACCTCAGCCGGCGGCCAAATCGCGGTTCCTTCTACCCGTATGAATGGCTGCAGCGCCGGGTATCGCATTGCCCATTAGACATAGAAGCCCGCCGTGCGAGAGGCAGGAGAAATCCCAGCTGGGAGTCCCGGAATAGCCACCTAATCAGAGCGGCGGCCCGTGCGGGAGCGACTGGGAAGGAGAGGTCAGAGCGGCAATCCTACGGCTCGTAATGCTGTATCATGGGGTATCTGGACTTGTTTACTTTCAAACTGTGCACTGTAAATCGTACCACATGCAGTTCTGTATCCTTCAGCACATTTTTCTGTGCCTTCTGTGGGCTGGTTCTGATCAGACTCTGACCGATTTCTGTCCCTTACCTAGAACTGTCCCTGAGTCTGACACAACCGCATCATTGTTCGTACTCCCTTGGTTGATCCTACCATGTCCCTCCCAGTTCCTCACCTAGCCGTTTCCTGCAGCGTTTTTACATTGAGCACACACAGCTCGCTCCCATCTTGGCTGACCATCCATGCCCCTCGCCGTCCCTTCCCTGTCCCTTGCCTGGCCATCCCTAGCTCTCCCTGTCCCTCCCTGTCTCTGTTCCTTACCTGGCCGTTTCCTGCAGGGTGTTGACGTTGAGCACACAGAGCGCTCCCTCTCCCGCCGCCAGGAACACGGACGTGCCCTCGCCAGATAGCTGAAAACAGACAGCGGAACTCAGGTCAGGTAAGTTCAGATACGGGACAGAGCAGCGGCTCAGTTGAGCTCGGAACTGACAGTTCAGCCAGTTTTGAGCACGGACCGGTCAGGGTCTGCCAGGGAAATTCACAAAGCGTTCACAAACAGCTCATTGCCGAGCGGTCCACGCATTACCTACCCTCTTTGTGCCGGGAAACGGTTGGTAGTTCGTGCCTGGCTCATGCGCCAGCGACAGAGGTGTACCAAGAGCAGAAACTAGCTTGTCCCCTAACTCGATGGAGCCGGTGATGAAATGCGATGACATGATTGCCTGATTATCGATAAGCGAGCTAAATTGTGGAGCCATCATATCATTGCAACCACAATTTGGAAGAATTCGGCCTTTGCAAAAATGACGGAATCATACTCACTCTAACTAGCTACGCTCTATGAACAGTTACGTACAGCGAAATATCAATACGGATTATTGCTAAGAACAGTTATTTTCCAAAAATGTCAATCTTTACTTGATGAGCAATTAGACGAATTAGCTAATTATCTTAATGGAACCGCGAATGACGTGGCGATTACAGGGAATAACAGGCGATAAAATCTGAGAGTATTATGAACCACGCTGGAATATCCATAATTATCCCATGATCACCGACCAGAATAACTATCCGCATGTTGGAAATGAACTGCGTTTAGTAAAGTTTTAACTATTTGCTTGCTCATTAGGTGCTCATGAGCTATAATAACTGTTTTTTCGATATAAGACAGCTAGTATCCAAAATACCTCTAAAATCATACCTTTAAGCGACTCTCCGGTCTATTTTTAATATTGCATCAGGCGCCTGCCGCCTGTGACCACCGGCGCCACGCAGCCGATACACCACTCTGCCCACTCCCCGGCCCGCGGCGGTCGGTCGCAGGAAGCACAGAATCAGCGGCGCGTGGCCGAGCCGCACCCCTTCCAGCTACACTCCCCTACCCGTCCATAAGTCTGACCGAGCCAATATCCGGCGGCTGAGGACCCTTCAGGGGCGTGCCCCCAGCGCCGCTCCCCACTCACACTGACCGGGACTGAGCCTCCCGACGGTCAGCCCGACTGGGGTCAGCTGGCGCCTGACTATGGCGGCCGCGGCGCGCGACGCTCCGTGTTTTTCTGGTGTTTTTCGCGTTTTGGCCGGGTGCTGAGCGCTGAACGAGTGCAGAGACCGAGTGAGAGACTGTTTTTACCGAGTGAAGTGACTTTTACCCATCGATCATTAGTATTTTAGCCATATCAATGTTTGTTTACATTGTCGCCCGGCACTGGATATGGGCCGCGAACCCTGGCCGGCCGCGCCACATTCTACCGGTCTGGGAAGAGGTGGAAAGACTGACCGCCAATCAGTGCGGCACAACACCCTTCACCGTATTCTACCGGACCTGGTCTGTGGTCAAGGCCACCCGCCCCTCTGGCTGGGGCCGCAGCGCCCGATCAGGGGCGATGCCAGGCCGTGGGCCTGGGGTGCGGCCGGGCCGGGGAGAGCGGCCGCCGTTCGCCGCCGTCCTGAGACCGCCGGTGGGCGGCGAGCTGGCCGCCGCCGCGGGGCCCGAGCTGGCCGCCGGGTGCAGGAGCGGCGGAGCAGGGGGAGACGTGACCCCAGCCGGACTGACGGCTCCGCGGGCTCCCGTGCACACTGTCCGTGTCCGGTCTCGCCCGCTCGCCTGACGGCCCAGCACTACCGCTGCCTCTCCTGCCCACCGCGACTCTCGGTGAAACAGACGGAGCGGGCCGGCAGACGGCCGTTGAACTCAGCGGCGGTTGACAGCAGATCCAACGCTGGCCAGCCCATCCGGTCACCACTGAAGATAGCACACCTCAACGTGCGCTCGCTAATATGCCATCCATAGATGATGTGAACTGCACTCTGCAAACGATGTCTATCGATATTCTGGGTCTTGTTGAAACATGGCTAAACGAGAATATCGACAGCAGCTTTTTGATCTTCCCTGGCTATAAGGTGCTGCGGTGTGACCGCCCTGCGCCCTCCGGTCGTGCGAGAGGAGGGGGAGTCTGTGTGGTCTACCGGGACTCGCTGCGAGTCGAGACATTATCGACACCGACCGGTGACTCCCAGCTTGAGTCTCTGTGGGTCAGTGTGCGCGGCGTCACCACGGTGGTGGTCGGAGTCATTTACCGCCCACCGAGTGTCCCAGTGACCGCCGCTATTGAGGACCTCCAGACCCAGCTGGCGCACGCTATTTGCACCGGAAAGCCTGTTTTCGTGCTCGGAGACACCAATTTCGACACACTCAAACCCGACAAGGCTGATGTTCATCGCTACCTGCAGATGATCAGCGCCATGGACATGAAGCAGCTGGTCAGCTGTCCAACTCGACCGGCTAGCGGAAGTCTGATCGACCACGTCCTAGTGCGGCAATCTGATGACATCACGGCGACCAGAGTGGAGCCGTGCAGCTGGTCGGATCACGATCTGGTGATCGCTGAGACCACCCTCCAGCGGGAGCGCCGCCGTCCCGCGGAGGTCACCATCAGGTCCACGCGAGACCTGGTGCCGGACGCTCTCTGTTTGGAGCTGCTAGTATCCGACTGGTCGGCCGTGTACAGCGCCACTGATCCTGCCGACAAGTGGAAGGCATGGCTGGCGGTGTGGTCGCCGGTCATTGACCGACACATGCCTGAGAAGAAGATCAGACCGAGACACTCGCCGGCGCCATGGATCACCGAAAACGACGAGCTGCAGACCATGATGAGAGAGCGTGACTTGGCCGACGCTGAGAGACGTGCTCAGCCGGCTGACGAGCAAGCGGCCCAGCGGTACAGACTCTGTCGGAACCGAGTGAAGAGCGCCCAGATCAGCGCCAAGTCAGACTTCTTTCTGACATCTTACCGCCGGTCGCGCCGTACCACGTGGAAGGACATCAGACGCTTCCTCATCTCACCTAGAGCCGGAGCGTCTTCTGCGTCTTCATCTCCGAGTGGCCCTCGCTGGGCTGACAGACTAAACGAGTACTTCGCGTCGGTCGGCCCGAGCGTGGCCGCCGCGCTGGAGGAGGCGCAGCGCGTGACCGAGCCGCTGCCGCCGCGGCCGCCTCGCGTGGTCAGCGGCGCTTTCCGCGTCCACCCCGTGACACTGTCAGAGCTGTCAGCTGCCGTGAAACGTATGTCAGCGTCTAATGCGAGTGGTGGTGACGGTATCACGATAGGTATGCTGCGCATGACTTTCCCAGTGATAGGCCCGCATCTGTTAAAGGTCATTAACTCGTCGCTGGTGTCTGGAAAGTTACCCGCCGACTGGAAAGTGGCTCATGTCATACCGTTGCACAAGTCTGGCTCGATGGATGACCCGTCTAACTATCGTCCGCTGTCGCTCCTGTCAACTGTTGCTAAGGTCGCTGAGAGTGTTGTTTGCGGTCAGCTGATGACTTACCTGCTCACGCACAATATTCTCTCCGAGGTGCAGCACGGCTTCCGGCCCGGCCGATCCACGGAGTCGGCGATGCTGGATACTGTCAGTTTTCTCATGGATGGTCTGGATGATGGTCTCATCGGTTCTCTCACGACCGCCGACACTAGCAAGGCTTTTGACAGTGTCCAGCATCCCCGGCTCCTGGAAAAGCTGGGCTGGTACGGTATTAGCGCACACTGGTTCCGTGACTGGCTGAGTGACAGGTGCCAGATGGTGCGGGGTGGTGAGGAGATGAAGCCAATCACCCACGGCGTGATACAGGGATCACTTTTGGGACCGATCTTATTTTTGCTGTTTTCAAACGAGCTTGCGTCCTATGTCGACTCCAAAATAGTGATGTACGCCGATGACGTTCAGTTTTTACATCTAGCATCATTGAAGCGAATTTTAGAGCTCAAGACAGATACCGAATGTACTTTAGACATTGCGAGTCATTGGTTTGTTCAAAACTGCCTAAAAATCAACCCCAAAAAGACCGAACTGTTAGTTGTAAAATCACGTAGGAGGCAGCTTGACTTTGATTTTAATGTACTGTTTGGAGATGATGTTATTCAAACTTCCGCTAGCATTAAGGTATTGGGTGTAATTGTCGACTCTGGCTTGACCTTTGAGCCACATGTGACGGAGGTGATTCGCCGATGCTACGCCACATTAGGAGGACTGTGTAAATCTTCGCGATGCTTACCGAAAGAAGTGAAGAAACTGATCGTTGAGATGCTGATCTTCCCCCACATCCGCTACTGTTTGTCGGTCTGGTCGGGCTGTGGCGTTGTTCAGCGTCGCCGCGTGCAGCGAGTTATTAATCACTGCGCACAGGTGGTTATGGGAGCGCGCCGCTCAGCACACGTGACTCCGCTGTTGGAGGAGCTCGGGTGGCCCCAGATAGACGAGCTTGTGGCGGAGAGTGACTGCGGTGTTGTTCACTACTTGGTTAACAATACCAGTGCGCCGAGGTGTCTCTCGGAGCGGCTCGAGCGCCGCAGTGACGTCTCTAGTAGGGAGACTCGTGCCACTGAGAGCGACCTGCTCCAGCTGCCGAAACCCCGCACCGAGCAGGCGCGGCGGTTCTTCCGGTACCGCGCCGTTGCACGCTGGAACTCACTGGCCCTGGATGTGCGTGACAGTAAAACGTCTGCTGGGTGTCGCAGGCGCTTTAGGAGGGCGCTTTAGGCTCTTATAATGTGTGATACCACGTCATACGTGCTGTACTTTTTTTCCTTTAACATCTTTACCATTCAGCGTATATGTATTTATGTATTGACACTTGGACAGAATAGCCGTGAATATGGAGTTCCAAACGAAATAAATGATGATGATGATGATGATGACTCCAGTGGCCTCTTGAGACGGGCCAGAGGCTATATCCGCCAACCGCGCTCACTCGAATACACACCAGATCAGAGAGAACCTGAGCCCTCTTATACACAAGATGGAACACGAAAATACTTACCGCGCTGCCTCTTATACAACTCACCGTCAAAAGTAAGAGCTATGCAAAGTAGTAGGAGCTCTCTCCCCCCTCTCTCTCTCTCTCTTTTCTCTCTCTCTTCCTTCCCTCCCTTCCATCCCATCCCATCCCATCCCATCCCATCCCATCCCATCCCATCCCATCCCATCCCATCCCTTCCCTTCCCTTCCCTCCCTCCCTCCCTCCGGTAGAATCACGCCAAACATTGTTCAAAACCAGACCAAGCTTTTAGCTTTCTCACCTTGGCTTTGAAGAGCGCCGACCCGAAGTGGGGCCACTTCCTGGTGCATGTTAGGTAGATGCGAACACAGTCGTGCGTGCTGCGGCCACGGAGGGAGCTCCACTTCTCAACGAGAGCGCCACTCAGCTGCCTGTAAATGAGACGGATACGAGTCAGACTTGGGGTCAAAGGGAGTGGGGTGCAGTCAGGCTCGTGAGGTCAGACTAGGTCAGACTAACGACTATCCTCTGGCTATATATCTCGAGGTCAGACTGGCGTACTACAAAGGTCACTGACAAGCGGTCAGTTGTCACTGGCTGACGCTTGCACTTTGCCGCTGACAAGCTCAGAAGCTGGCAGTGACAGATCAGAGGCCAGTTTTACCAACAGAAAAATAGCCGCCTGCTGGAATTTTTTGCATAAAGACCGCTTCACATACGGAGAGTATACGGTAAAGCCCTATCCGCTTACATGTCCATTGCGTTTACGCTCCGTATGTGAAGCGGTCTTTAGGCAAAAAATTCCCGCAGGCGGCTATTTTTTCTGTTGGTAAAACTGGCCTCAGGACCAAGTACGAGTATGGTCGCGGATCCCTCCCCCTTTAGATGCTTCAGAGGTAGCAAATTCCTCAAAGCCATCTCACAAAAATCGCCGCAACATGACCCACTTCTGTGCTGCGTCTCTTATACACCGCGCCCGTGCCGCATCCAAAAACGCCCCTCGGTATGTCGCGGGTCAGCGATTTCCAACAGAGACGCCGCGCTATCAGCACCATTGCCGGGCCTTCCGCCCGCTGAGATGCAGTAAAGACGCTGATGCGACTATAATTGCGCCGAGAATGCGTGCAAAAATGGTCACAAAAACGGGAAACGAGCTTTACGCCTCGCTGACTGCCGCATCTTTCTGCGGACAAAGAGCGAGCCGAGATGGGAGGAGGCCACAAAGCGGCGGTGATTGGAAAGGAGAATGGGATGGGCGCGGTGCGCGGTATACAGCTGAGAGCCGGCAGCGGGAGTTTTAGGGGATCAGATGAGCCTGGACAGGATGGCTCGCTGCGCTTAGTGTACACGGCGGCCTGCCAGCCGCTACGCAAAGCTAACTTTACTTCAAAAGCGGCCTGTCGTACCGCAGGCGACACATATTTGAAAGGCAGTTAGTTTGCCGGATCCGACTATGCACATTACACATACTTCAACGATGGACTGCCAGCGGTGCCGGGTACAGACTTCAATCGGCCGTGCCTCGACCTATATCCGACAGACAATCTCAGGCTTTATGTTGAAGTGCAGATAACAGTTTTCAATCTCTTCCAGATCTCGCCGGATAACAACAGGATATTGTGCGATGGAGCAACAAAAGCTTCCATAAAACTTCTCTGGCTTATCGAGAACTGGAAATTGAAGATCAAACCTTGCAATTCACGCATCATTGCGATGCAAACAAATCTTGGATCACATTTCAAAACATGGCGATACTGCGAGCGATGTTTGATTACAGCATGATCTCTGGATGTTTCAGCTCTATCAGTCATCCATGTTTGACAGAACCATTGTATGCCTACTCGGAAGGGATTATCTGACACGACATTGCCCGGTTCCGGCACGTTGTTGGGTCCGTCTGCCCATCTCCCCCTCTCACGTCTGTCGCTCAATGCCGCTTCTAACATACGAAATCCCAGTTTATCTTGTAGCAGCACAACCCCGGCGTAAATCCCAGCCGTCCTTCCATGTACCGACTCCGACACACGGGCACACCCCGTGTCCCGGTCCGCCGCCCCTGTCCCGACGCGCTGCAACCCGTGACAAGACTGCTGTGAGCGCACCGCGCCTCAGACTAAGCCCTGCCGCTCGGCCGCTCAGCCGCGATGCCCAGTCTCGTGTCGGCCTGTGCCCAAAGTCGACACAAACACCGACACACACCGACGCACACAGTCCTAGCCGGCTGGCGAGGCTCAGACTCCTTATCTGTGCGGCACACAGCCGCCGCGCCAGCCGGACGTGCTGATTATCACCAGAGCACCCCGCAGAACAACACAGCGAGCGCACGGCGGGGCGGCAGGACGGCCCAAAGCACCGGATTCTCCCCAACGGCGGACGTCAGAGAGGAGTGAGCACCGTACACAGCGCCGTCTTACGACACAAAGTCGCAGACAAACGGCCGTCTTACTTGCGCCGGAGCATTCCAGCGATGTTGAGCGGATCAGCAGCGAGCATAAAACGTGCTTAGTAAACGGACAGCGGTGAATGTGCTTATGATGCGGACTTATCCGTAACTAATGACTGCCGGCGGCAGCATCAGATAAGGCATCGTCCCACTGAGGATAATTGGAAAGCGCTGATAAGACGGATTGTCAAGAATGCCATGTGAGCTCAGGGATTTCTGAAGTCTCGATAGCAGCGACCTCATTGAATTCCTTTTAATTACCGAGGAAATCGTGACATTGCTTCGGCATGAAGTGCGCAATTCAATTTTTCCAGTTCCACTTTTTGTTGGTTTGTACAAAATACGTAAATGCGCTCGGCGCATCGCGTGATTTTTCGTCACAGTCTGCGGTGGCGACTCCGCGGAAGGCGAACGCTGATGGCAATCTAAACGAGTTCGTCAAACCTGTCGGGACATCGCTCGAAAAACTCCCGTCTTTCGCAGTAAAGTACGGCGCGACCGCAGGCGCGTCGCTGATGAAGTCACTGGGGCACCCCGTTCCGACATCCCGCCAGTGCTGCAGCCCATTCGTCTGTCCAATAACAGCGTCTTTGCGGTCTCATAGCTCGCGGATCATCGACCGAGTCACACGGACACGGCAGGGCAGCAGTTGCCGTTTTTACCCACCAGTAAACCCCGCCGTCAATCCGACATGACACATTCCCAGAGAGCCGAGAGCGCACAGAGTTCTCATCACATGGATCGGAGAAAAATCCGAGCACGTTCGAAGAACGCCAAACGACGCCCAGCCGACGGCGGTCACCGGCAGAGACTTTCTAATCCCGGCAATCGTCTGATGCCGTGTGCCTCGTACCGCAATCGTAAACCCAAGCTTTACCCCGACGCCAATCCCGGCTTTCACCGGATCGGCTCGATCGTCGATGCGGTCCTAATTGCGGTGGAATCTCGCCAATCCGCCTCTGTTTGATGTGGGAGTTGGAGGCGGTATTCCTAGAGGCGTGCAGCCTCTCCAATGCACTCAACACGGGGCGAATCTGCACCATCACCGGTCCAAACGGAGCTTGTTAGCGAGTCGACCACAGCACGAGTGGAGCCACTGGAGGCCAATCGCCGGCTCAATCACACCACTTGTCCAGTAGCCGACCGCAGAGCTGTTCTGTGAATCAACTCGTGCACGCCGCGGCCAGTCGGCACGCTCAGAGCCGCCGACATAATCGGCGTCACGAAGGAGGGTATACCCGCAGCGCCGCGTCAGTCGGACCAGCGCCGCCCGCTTATCACATGCAGCTCGGTATATCACCGTACATTGGAAACACGACACGCAAAGTAGCGCATACCATGTCGACAGGTCATTATACATAAACATTTATATCGTACATCTGCAGACCTTCTTGGGAAGCTGCTGATATCAGCCCAGCGCTACCAGTGTATTACACATTGCACAACTCTCCGGGGAATGGTCAATGCGAGTCCCGTCCGCCCCGAACATTTCCAGTGAGTCGTGTCTGGATGGCCGGCACGAGGAGGGAATGGGGCACGATTCCGGCCGGATGAGGGCAACTGCAGACGTGATTTAGACGAGCCTAACTAGGCCTGATACCGAATCTGAACACGACTGAAACACAGTCGAGGCCGGATGAGCTCAGTAAACAACAAGATGGCTGGAAAGTCGGGATCAAAAGAGGGGAATTGAACACGAAACAACCAAAGTTTAACAATGGGAAAACAGTATACTAGCCACAAAAGTTGGGCGGAAAAGGCAAAACAGCGAAAAAAACGACAGCGAGTCTTATCACCGGTCGCGTTATCTCCCTCGCGGTTTGTCATGTTTATCATCCTCCGGGCGCGGCAGACACGGCGCAGGACCGACAGATCCGGCGCAGCGCGGCGCCGGATGCGCAGTGCATCCCCCGGGGGAAACTGGGCCTGTCCGCCAGCTGGGTAGTGTCAGCACCGCTCAGATAGCCGGATAGCGCCCGTCGCCGGTCTGGACAGCCGTCCGAGGCGCCCCGCGCCCGCCGCCGGCTGCAGAGCGCCGATATGCGATCGGTGGGCAAATAGTGTCGGGCTACCGCCGCCGGCGCCGGCTGGAGAGGCTCCCAGAGCCACACCCGGCCCGCCCGGGGCACATCGAACGCAGCATATGACCGGAAGCAGGCAGGGAACGAACTAAGAGCAGCGCCCGGTCAATCAGCCAATGCACAGAGTGTGACGGACCGCAATGTCTGGGAGCATGTGTAGCTTAAAACAAACCGCTAATTCATGCAGTTGAAATCAGACTCGACACAAACCCATGACCGTGAGCAAGACGGAACAAAGTAGCTCTCTGGGTCGTGCAGGTATCCCATTCAGACTAGTTCCACTTTCTTACCCACCACTCGAACCACCAGAACCAGTAAAATCACCACCACTACCCCCCATGTCTCCCAAAGCCCGTTCTAAACCGACCCCAAATCACCGCCGGAACAATCTAACTCGACCACCTCCTCAACCGCGACAGCCATCGGCCATCCACGGCCAGAATACCTTCCCAGACCGCCTCTCGGCCCGGGGCACGCCCCTCCCAGGCGGCGGCGACCCCGGCAGACCGACGAGCGCCGTCGGCCGCCACAAAAACACCCACTAATGACGTCATTATAGTCCGAGAGGCCGGCGGCGTGCTATCGCACGGTGCCGTGACGACGCACGCAGCACGCACCGGACGCTCGCTGTGCAGGGGCACGCGGCGCCCGCTAATGCAGGGGAGGGTGGTGACATGAGGGCGCCTCTATTATTGCTCCGGTCCGTATTATTGGAGGCTGCCGAATGTCGATAGCAGGCGACACGCAATCAGCAATCGATTGAAACTATTTAGCAAACTAAGAACAACCAAATCGCAGATAATTTAGGTCAACACCCTCAAGGCAAGCTAGACCATCAGCAAACTAAACAAGAGATGACAGTTTCGTTCGGAGTTTCCAGGAAATCCATCGAGTTCCGGCTGCTGTTTGTTGAAACATATATTCAAAGTCATTCATCATGGAGATCCGACGTCGGTCCATTATTCAGATGCTACACTGTCGGACCCCATAGCCGAGCCATCACTACTCCATTGCAAATGCCCCGTACATCGTCGGCCGGGCGCTGCAGCATTCATAGCCCGCAGCGCGGACCGGGGCCGGCCCTTTGATATGGACAGCCTACGACACGGGACGGGTCTCTGTAGTACAGGGCCCGGCGGGACCGTCCCCACCCCCGACCCGTCACCGCCGGACCGCGAACGGGGGAGATGGGTGGATTGGAGACCGTCCAATGGCCATTCTCAGGGAATGGGAACATCAGAAACAGAGCGTGATAGTCGAGGGACACGAGAGGCGGGCCGAGATTACTGTGATGTATGTACGCGTTGCCAACCTTTCTACAGTGGAGCCTTTAAACGAGAAGGAACCCACTGTCACTAAAACAGCCGTTTCATTGTGCTCACAGCGCTAACTACGACTGAACACGACGCTGTGGTTTGTCCCTAACATCCTGCATAAGTGCATACTGCATAGTGTATAACCCGCTGGGTTCCGCCCCACACACAGGCATTCGTATTCACATTCACAGACAAGCACAAACGGATGCCCAGGGCGCACACAGCCAATGTTCTCTATGCAGCGGCAAAACAGGGCCCAATTACAGCCCACAAAGGCCCAACCAGAGACTGAGGGACGCAAACTGCATTGCAACAACGGCTGCACTGGCTTCATTGTCGCAGAATAGAGTCGGCAACAAAGGATTTAGTGCTAATGTGAGCGGACAGGACGGTGTGGCGGACAGAACTCAGGCAGACAGGCGGACACACGGGCTGGCATCAGAGGCAGCACCGTGAAAGGCACCGTAGGGTAAGAAAGAACTCTGAACATCTGCCTCTGAACATCTGAACAAGACACATTTACCGTGTGTCATGGCAACTAATGTTTCCATCCTGCTCTATCCAAATGTTCTTCAGCTTGTCCATCAACTTGTATTGGAGAAAAGTCACGTTTATCAAGCTGCATAAAAGTTATGGAATGTAGCAAGCCTACTATTTCTGCCAAAACTTCAGCGAAGCATGGCATCAGTCAACCATCCAACAAACGATAAATTACTGCTATCTCAGTTGCAGGCAGACGTTCATCAATTCAGCATTAGGAAAGCCCAGAGATGAGATGTCTGATGTGGCAGTCAGCTCGTCCCGGCGAGGTCGAGAAAAATCAACATACGTCATCCGTTCGCAAACAAGACAGTGGTCTCATCAAACCATCACTTTTATACGGCTGGGGGATGCACATGATAAGTCTCCCCTGGGCCCTGGAGCGCCTGCAGTCTCCCCTCCGCCTGACCCGACCGCCGGGGTCACCGCCACTTCCGACCATCACCGGTTGTGTGCCGCATCTCAAGACGATGTTTCGTCATTGTCATGGCCACATCCCAGGAAATTCCCAGCTCTAACATGCCACACACACCACATCAGCCTGCAAACGAGCATCTCAGAGCCGGCAGGCCCCCCGGATTCCAGTGGGGTGGAGTTTTATACACAGCTTTCCAATCGGTTTACATATGTGGCCAGGGCGGGTGACGGGGCAGTGGGGTCGGATCGACTGACAGGGCCTCGGGGATGATTGGCGATCGGTGTAAAATTAGCCGATAAGGTGCGGCTTAGCTTCCAGGAAAGATGACTGGTACAGCATAATTTGACGGCTACAGAAGCCACTGGGAGCTCTCGGATTACCGCGAATCCCGGCACAGCGGCTTAATAACAATCGGATAAGAGCCGATGGAATGGTAATGCCACCTGCTTAGAGCTGAGTGGGCTGGCCGTAAGAGCTGAAATCCAATCCCCAATAGCGATCAGAGTGCCTGCCTAGGGGCAGAATAGTAAACGATGACCGAAATTTAATATCACAATAAATGTGGCATATGCTATATTTTTGTGTCGTAGGTACCAAAGTTGCCGTACCCAAGTTGCTTAAAACGTGCACTTAACCTCCGCTGTAGAAACGTGCGTGTTGTATGTACGTACACAAAGTCTCATAAATGCAAAACAGCCTTACCACTGCAAGTTTCTTAGCTATTACGACGTCATAGCAAGTATTAATTCTTTGAATTGCTGGACAACAAACCGCACAATCCAATAATAAATGCCGCATTGTTCTGCCTATGTTCAGCATGACTGTAGCATACTGCGTCCATTATATAAGCATGTCTGAGGCATGTAACAGAGGGTTAGCCATATATCACCTCACCACGAACATAACAATTCGGCATATGATTGCAGGAAGAACAATCCTCGCTCCACCGCAACTCCTTATCCGCCGGCAAGGCAGTCGACATTCCAATCGCAAACGGATGTCGTCATTAATTGACACTGCCCCTATCGCGGCTGAAGGCGACTTAGCCGCAGCAATACCGCACGTGCAAAAACTCCGTATCTGGAAGAACCGATCACCATCCATACGCTCCCCACTTTGACTCGCTCGAACTCACCCTTCTGACCCATCAGCGACTCTTCCTTAGTCCCCTATGAGTGACCTTTCTGACCCTTCCCACTGTGACTCGTTACCTATCATCACACAGTGACCAACTTGGTTTCGGCTGACACTAAAATGGATCAGACCAAACCAAAAATGACCCGTCTAACCCTACCGTGACCCGTTTGACCCTACCATGACCCCTATACGACCCTTAACCCTATTCCTGGCGGGCTCCGCCGGGACAAGAAACTGGCGGGGGGGGGGCCGATTCGGCCCCCCCCCCAGAGATCTCGAGAACGAAGCAAGATAGCGACAAGCGGTAAACGGCATCGGATACGCACGGCCAAGATCTACAATTTTTACTAAGGTCATTTTCAGGTCAGGTCAAAGATGACGTCACAGGGGTCGAAAAAGTCAAAATGGCGGCACTAGATATGGAGAGAGTTTTTCTCGAATAACTTTCGAATTAGTCAAGATAGGAACAAACTAAGGGCATCATCGTGATCCTCTCGTCAATCCGCATCGAATGATATATATGTTGACCTCGAAAGGTCAAGGTCAAAGGTTGACCTCAGGTCACGTGACCTCGAGGTCATCATGTATATCATTCGATGCGTCTTGACGAGCTGAACACAATGAGACCATCCACGCGTCTGTATCTTGTTCCTGTACGGAGTTATTGGCCAAAAACCTTTGGTGACCTTTGATGACGTCACATGACCTCACAGCTGCCCAACAGCAAAACAGACCTCAAGGTAGTGAAGGTTGATCGTATATGAAGTCATGTATGGTATATGGGGCCATTCCGACCCGCTTTAGTGGTAAAAACAGGGAGTTGATTTTTCCCCCATTGACTTATAATGGGCAGGTCGCGAAATTGACCTGACCTTAGGTCACCGATATCAAAATTCCGAGATATACAAATTGCACATAATGGTACCCTAACTAAACCCTGAAGAGAAGAAATTGATCGGTCAAAAACTCTAGCTCTGGCGTGATTGCAAACTTTTCTGAGGTAGCGTCACCAAACCGCCTCTGGTGACCTGACCTGAGGTCAGATCAACTCAAAATTTTCAGACATGTTGCGTAGAAGCCTTTTAGGAAAAGTCAGAAAATTTGAGCTTCCTAGCTCAACGCGTTTGGGAGATATAACCAAAAAACCTCAGGGGGGGGGCTCCTGAGGCCCCCCCGCCAGGAATAGGGTTAAGTGACCCCACTGTTGGCGACTGACCTGCGCTCGTCCTGGCTGCACCTCTCGCGGTACCGATGCGGGAAGAATCTCTCCAGGCACCTCTCCACCTGGTGATGGTTGACCGAGGCTGCCGAGCCGCGGGCGCGCTCAGCCGTGTAGTCGCCCAGGTCAATCTGAAAACAGAGGATTAAATGTTAGCCTGAGGGTTAGTCAGGGGGATGATAGATTGATCTGGGTTACAGGAAGCTGTGAATACTGAAGAGTCATGGGTGAAACAAAAAAGGACACGATAACCCGTCATTACATGCTTTTTCCTGTGCTCGCGAAATTCTGCCGATGAATATGAGGTCATAGTACTCAGAAACCAGAAGCGGTAAAAACAACGGATGCTTCTCAAACCGAGACAAAGTCAGATAAACGGAGGATACGAATACTCGGTCCGTAACCCAACATCTCCAAACCAGAAACAGGCCGTCTGGTTCCGGCCAGAAAACCGCACACAATACTCCGCTCACCGGCACACAATGCACAGTTGGTCTCACAATGCGGGCGGCTGTAAACAATACTCCATTCAGGGGGTCTGTCTCGGCCGCATACAGCGGGTGGACACGGTCGCTAAAGGAGCCATCGGAGCCAATCGGGCGGAACAGTTCCACAATTGATCGACGGGTAGGAATGAGTGATCGCTGGGGAAAACGCGTCCATCACTCCTTCGCCGAATGTATAATGAATAATCATCCAGCGACGTACGGAAAATGAGCGGCCGATTGGAACAAGGCACGCCCAAGGGCAGCTTTACCGAACAGGCAGCCGGGGGTTCCAGATAAACATTGATTTACCTCGCAGCTGATTAACATAGACCGACGTTTTTGGGGAGGAGAGTTCCTCGACGACTGAATAATGGCCACCAACACGACCACAATGGCTCATTATCATCAGCATAAAGACATTCGCATCACTCACTTTTAAAATAAGAATATCTTTGTCAATTAAGGAAGAGGAACAGACATCACAATAGCTATCTTTGTATCTATTCTTATCAGCCACACAAAACAAAATTAAGCATAAAAATTGGAAAAATATCCCTCAAGACAATCATCGCTTCCAGCTGCGAAAAGTTCTTCTCCGTATCCAGCGCTGTGTTTACTGTCTATAATAGCGTCGTTAGTTCGGCATAGTTCCCTTCACATACTCACGCGACACGCAGTCACGTTTTCGGACACGCACGAAAAAAAAAAAACGCGAAGCCCCACGGTGGCCACAATCGGCTTTGGCCACCACAAGGGGGCGAGCGAAGCCCAGCCGGGTGCGGGAACAGGCTGCCTAAGCCGACGGGGCCTCAGGGGCGGTCCGCGGGCGGTGTTTTGAAGCCCCACCACCGCAAGCCGCCGTCACTGTGACTCCCGATAAAAAGAAAAAAAAAAGAAGAAGAAAACACCAACAAGCTGCGTCTGTAGATTAGATTAGTCACAAATTAGTCACCATCTTCCGTAATTAAGACCTGTGTATTCAGCGCCCCTCACAATGCATAATGGAACAGGGAGAATCCCCTGACCTTCCTTGAAGCGCATATTTTGACAGATGCCAAAACTTATCAACCTTAATCACCTGCTCTATCAGCCGGCGGCAGAGTCTGTTTTCCCATGTATTGTTCCGATAACACAAACACACAAAAACGATGCCAATCGCCTCAGACACCAGTCGTTTACGGAAACATGAATTATCACTCAGGCACACGTACAATTCTTTTGGCTCTGTTCAGAAGAAAGAGCGATTGTTGTTTGATTGAATGCCCAGAGAGGAAGGTGAATGGGAAGAGGAAGAGAACGAACAGCAAATTTCCTCGGCCAATCAGGTGAGCCATGTCCTATGAATGGCTTCGTATAGCGCCCAGGAACAATGTGTCATTATTGTAGCACAAACCCGCGTGTGAAACGGACGACTCGGGAGGGGGGGGGGGGGGGGAATCACGTGACTCATAGAGCCAACCTACCTCATCAAGTGACCTCATGGTCCTCTGTTAATCCCCACCTTGACCTGACCCTGACCTGGCCCATAATTCGCACTGCCAACGAGGTAAAGATGAGCTTAACTCATCACCAACCACCCAATGCTGACATGAAGTCATGATTACCCTCGTTTCAACTGTAACGCAATGGGCGCAGTACCGATACAACCATCCCGCCCCGCCCCGGAACGCACAGTATACCGCCCCACTGACTGGCCCGGTTATAGGTGGGTCAGGTTCACGCTTCAGTCCCTGTCACAGCCGCGTCCCCGGAACCAGCGAGCGTGTGAAACCGGACGGGAGCGATCAGTGGCAGCCGACCACTGTGTCAGCCTAATTGACGCAGATCACTGAGCCGGTTCCCATGAATCGGCTAAGGTCGCTAGCGTCAGGGACGGGTTAGCGTTTAGCGCTGTTTTTGTCATTAACGGCCATAAAACAATTATAATACAAGGCAATGATATCAGCACAGAATGCCCGTTTTCTGAGAACCGAACGCATTACTAATTGCCATTACAAGGAAGATGACACGGATAACCGTAGAAGTGCTGTTAGTTGTATGTACGATGTACAATATACAATGTATAATGTACATGAATGTTAGCATCACCCTGCATATTACCGGCAACATGTGTCTGGTATACGCAGCGGCATTGTAAAAACATAATCCACTTCCGCCGCTGAAATCTAACCTATCACCAAACCGTTTACTGAAGGATAGGAAGAACATAGTCAAATTGTTGACGAGACAGCTGGACAGCTCTTGCTGATCCGTTCATGAGGGAATAGAAAGGACACCACCGAACCGCTCGCCAGAGGGCAGGGAGGGTCTAGACGAACACTAATTCGGCACCAAGGGATAAAACCAGCCACCTACACCAGCTCAGATCCCCAGTGCACGCCATTTCTTACTTCAACTGACATCCATTTCCAGGGAAGAGCCTTGGGAATTCGACCTCCCACCTCGCCTGCTCTCATGGCAGCGCGCAGTTTCCACTAGCGAACGCTGTCAACTACGTTGGAACCGGGGGAACCGGTCACTACTACCTACATCAGGGTCGGATAACCGAGGTTCACCGCAGTGTCAACCTTCGTACCTCATTACACGGGCTATAGAGCAATGCGATACTAACTTTAAAAAAAAAAACGACATTGACCTGAATAGAGCGGACAATAGACGGAGTGAAATTATCTGTAAGCGAATGTTTAATCACCGGGAAGTTTTATACCATACCATTTGCCACATTTGCTGTAAATCCACGCCGTGACTGTGTCAAACTGTGATAAACGCCCGCAAAAGACCTGTACTTACTCCCATTCCCAGACTGGGTGACGTTAGCTTTTCCTGCCACACCCTACTAACTTCTACCGCTGCCGAGTCCGCAATCGCTTCCGCCATTCCCACCTCCCCTCTCGCTGCCTCGTACCCCTTAACTGGGCCAAGAAAATATCAAGCTTCAAGTCCCTTTCCCTCTCATTTCCTCTACAGGGTAACCACTAATGGCCAGCTCCCCCTCCCATACTCTACCTTACATCATGAGGGTCACTCCCCTACTCTCATTCCCCCTTTTTGTGCCTGGACACTGAGAACGATCTGCTCCCCTTTCCTATCCCTCCCCTGTCTACCTAAGTCACAAGGGCGGTCAGCTCCCCATTGCTCTCCTCCCTCCCATCTCCTTTCCAGTCATGGGGTCCGCAAGCTCCCTCCCATCCTCTCCCCTCCCATCCCCCTACCTGAGCCATGAGGGCGGCCAGCTCCCCACCCCTTCCCTCCCCTTACCTGAGCCATGAGGGCGGCCAGCACCCTTGCTCTCCCCTCCCTCGACCCCTTACCTGAGCCATGAGGGCGGCCAGCTCCAGCGCCAGTTCGGTGGTCAGCGGGAACAGACCGCTGGAGACCATCTGACTGGTCTGGTAGACGTGCAGCAGACGCTCCCGGTCCGTCTCCCCCTTCACTGACTGACGCCAGTACAGCCGAGACCGGTAGGACAGCTGGATCACCCGGGTGTTCTCGAACTTTCCGGAGCCCTTCTCGCGCAGGGCTGTCTCCCAGCGAGATATGACGTCACAGAGCTGTCGAGGAGGGGGGGGGGGGGGGTCAGTGTAGAAGCTAAGGTGCTCTATTTTCAATCGGTTGGATACCAGAACATGGGAGCTGAAAGTCGCGGCTGTAGCTTATGACAACTAGCAATGGCATTTCTTTTTTTAACTAACAAGAGCTCAAAGAGCTGGGTCGTCACTTGGCCAAATGAGCTTCCGTTACATGTTAAACTTGAGGAAAACACATGAGCACTGAGGAACAGAAAAAGTACATGCGATAGATAGCGCGGCCTGTCCAAAGCGAAGTAGCTAATAAACTAGCTTGACATTAGCTCGATTTTGGACCTAGGTGGCGCCATAAATACCGAAAGGTGGCAAACTGTGTGCCTACTCCCTGCTTAGCACTACAAATACACAAACCACGATTCAGAACCTAAAATCAGCGCTGCACAAACAAGAGAAACACAATATTCCTTATACCATTCAGTGAATCAGCTCAAACCATCTGACTACGCCATGAATGTCACTCCATTTGAGTGTCTGGCGCCCGAGTGCCCGACAGACACCGAGTGGCCATCGAGACTGTTCAGTAGACGCGAATACCCAGTGAACAGCGTTCGGCAGTCCCACTGCCCGGTGTCCGCACCTTGGCATCTGTCTGCAGGAGGTGTCGCTGATCAGGCTGAAACGGATCGTCCGAGTAGAGCGCCATACCCGACTGGGACACGTCCCGGCAGCCGATCTCTTGGTTCAGCGTCTGGACGAACTCGCCGACCGTCGTCGAGCCGTCGAAACCCACCACCTGGCGGCGGGGGAGGGAAGTAGTGGTTAAAGGGTGGCGCTGAGGTCGAACTCAAATGAAACTTGATGCTAGTGCTAAGATCACCACAAATGTAGTGCCATTGATGCGTAAACTCAAGTTTCTTTCACTGGAGATAAGCACGACAATGGTGAACTGGCCTGGCTAGCCATAAAGTCAAATTTTATGTAAAACATTCCTAAATTTGACACTGCTTTACTGACATACACGGTCTCTACAGTCCCACCGCACGCCCTCGCATTATCACAACTCACCACTCCACTCAACATGCATTCCCTCTACTCCCTTTCGCCACCGGGTCAGTCACCTGGTACGTGTTGTTGAGGAAGTGCACCGGGATGGCGTGCGGCAGCGAGTGGTGGTACGGGTTCTTCAGCAGTATCGACAGCACCTCCATGCGACTGGGCCGCGCCTGCCGGCCGCCCTTCTCTAAGGACCGCTCCAGTGCCCGCTGACAGTAGGCGGCGTACTTGCCCGTCTCGGTCCTGTAGAAAAGTCAGGCGGGTAAGCAAAACGTAACATGTCGAGGTCAAGGTCAATATACGTCAGTGAGACATGACCTGTAGTCAGAATCAGAAGAAGTTCGCGAAGGTCAGCATACAACTCGAGCTACCACTTTCAGACAACATGACGGAATGCATCGACAAGAAGGAGGCGTAAAAGCTGTGGCGAAAATTATATAACCAGCATGTATCTTCTCTCCCCGACTCACTTTGGATCGGCGTGCCGCTGCAGATGCAGTTTCAGATACCAGAGCAGTTTGTTGTTTTTGGGCACGAACAGGCTGACGGCCAGCGCCAGGAGCTGCCACGTCTGTACGAAGACGTGCGGCGCAGGGTTGGACTTGCTGTCAGCCGCCGCCAGCATGGCGGCCTGGGTCTGGGCCGCCGACGGCTTGCCGCCCGACGAGTCGCACAGGAACAGAGACTGGGTGGCGCACAGCAGCAGGTTCTGTGTAAACGGGGAGAGATAGAGTGAGAGATGAGGAGGGAAAGTGTTGACGCCGAACTTTAGACGAGAGCCCCCTATAATTATTTCTGGCCACAGCACAAGACGAATGGATAAACATCCGCAAGAGGAAGCACGGACACGTGACGCCGGAGTCCCGGACACTACATAATCCAGAGGAATGATGAAACCTAATACCTAACGTCCTTCCTGAAGTGCAGAATAGCTACACGGCAGTACTTTTGGCCCTACAGGTCAATTCTTAAAACACAAAACCGCACACGGCTCCGTCTTACATCAAACCACACTCACCCAAATGAATCGCCATTGTCAGCTCCCCTGTCCCCGAAACGAGTACATACAGCTCGTCTGAGGACTGAACACTGACCAGGGAGGGTCAGCATCCAGTCCCGTCCATTGAACCGACCGAGTCCCCAGACGCTGGCTCAATTGATGATGGACCGGCCAACGACTGTCCACTAACGTTCATAACAGTGGCTATCCAATTTCCGTGTGTTTTATGAATGTGACAATTTGGCACGACACTCAAGGCTGTCAAACTGTGTGTGTGTGTCTAGAAGTTCGCATTGCCCGTTGTGTTACAGTACTCGATAACCTGTACTAAACTGGATTATTGGCACCAGTTGTTCTGAACTATGAAGTACTGTGTTATCGTGACCTGTGTGTTACCGTGTTCGATACTGTCCAGTCAGGACGAGACGACAGTCTCCACCAAACCCGGGCAGCAGCAGTGGTCTGTAGGTCTGAGAGGTACAGCTGAACGACCTCTATATACATACAGCGCAGCCCAACCGCAGCATAGAGCACATCTATAGCACATATCGCGCACATACGGAGCAGCACATACAGGGTGGCAGCGCAATCCGCAACTACCGACTGCTAAACATCGGCCCAAGAGCGAACAAAGGAAACATTGAGCTGAGGCAAATCATACCATTTCACATAGCAATGGTAAAAAGGCGACTGGAGACTTTTCTGGAGAAAATAAGCGACAAACCCATTGATTAGGCAGCCATAAATATATCTCAATTTTAGGATGTACATATATTTGCGAATGAAAATGTCTCCAGTCGCCTAAACACAGAAAAGGGGCGCCAATCGTCGAGAAATGAGTGCAAAATTGCAGAGGGAACAAGCATACTGTAGCTGAGAAATGAAACCAAATATAACGCCCCATCAACTACATTCAACATTCAGCATTACATAGAAGCCCAAGGCGACAACAATGAGGGGAAATCTAGAAATGAGAGCACTGACTGTCGGGTATTCAAACAGTCTGTGCATCACAATACAATGGGAGAGCTTCGTAAATAACTGTAAAGCTGCTATGCGGTCGGTGTATATGCCATTGCACACCTGCAGCTACGAGACATGAAAATGAGGCAGGGCCTTGGGCTGGGCAGCACAGCTAAATAACAAAACAGCTGTGATGCAAAGAAAATAAAATACATCTACCTGGGTCGTACTTCTATCGCCAGTCTAACCTCGCATGCACGATAACTGATAAGAGCGATAGAAAGCAGAAGAATAAAAGTATTCAAACGATGAAATGGCTGAATGAGAGCATATTTGTATTTCGACCCGGGTATTCTCGAATGAATTAACCCTCGCCCGCACATGGGGGGGGGGGGTGGTTGCCACCCCCCCCAGGCAGTCTTTCTGCTCTGCACTCAACATTTTTAGAGCTAGAAGGCTGATTTTTCGTATAGCTGCTCGTCTATCCTTTCTTGATGTCCACTGAAAATTTCAAGTTTCTGTGATTTTTGGTTTCGGAGATATGACCTTGTTTTTCAGGTCATGTCATGACCCAAATGGCCAATTCTCAACATCTTGCGTTTGCCATGGGCCTTGTGAGCTTTTGACACCCTGATTTCGGCCTTTTTTGCCAGTCTTACCTCCCACCTATCATGGAACATGTTGTTCGACGATGTACAGGGGTCAAGGTCAGGGTCAAGGTCAACCTAGGTCATCTAAGATAATTGCGTTTTAGGCAAGCTAAATTTACTTTTTGTGAAGTTTTTTGACTGCATTTTTGGTAAAAGCTTCTCAGATCATGATTTCATGTGATATGAACCCAAAAACAATCGGTGCACACATCAGTATACACACAGACACACACAGACATACAAACACATATAATTGACCTTGACCTAACTTGACCTGAAATGACCTCAGCAGCAAAATTATGGTCGGATAGTGTGTCAAAGAGATTCTAGCTGGCTTGGCACCAGAAAACAGCATCGTCATCGGTATTTGATACGCAGCGCACTTGATATCCAACAATGACCCAAAACAGCAACATTTTTTAGTTTGACCTGACCTGGAAGGTCAATGACTGACCTGAGAAGGTAAAACTGGGTATCATTGGATTCGTCTCTTCCCAAAGAATCTTTTTGGTCTTTACTGCTAAGCTCTATCTCCAACAGGAACGAAATGGCGCGGGGGGGGGGGGGGTGGCAACCACCCCCCCCCCCCATGTGCGTTCTAGGATGGGAAAATGGCATGTGCGGGCGAGGGTTAAAGTTTATATAACTATAGGCGGTATTTTTGGATAGGCAATGCATTAAAAACGTAATAGGTCAAAATTCAGTCACGTTGTTTTGGAGTGAGCAAAAGTCGACATGGGCAGTAGGCACTGACCATGATGAGGCAGCGTTCAGTACGGTTAAGTGCTTAGACTCCGCCAATTTCGACGGTGTCACCCCATCCTCCCCCGGGCCCAGTTCGACGATTGGCGCCCCGGCTCTCCACCCTCCCCCACACTTACGCTCGAGTGTTTTATCTTGGTGACGGCGCGTCCTACCTGCACGCCCAGTCGCTGGTGGACGTGACGTGCCGTCTGCCGGGCCAGCACTGCCAGCAGCTCGTCCTGCAGCTCCGTGCGCTCGCAGCAGAGCTGCAGGGCGTTCTGCGCCAGCGCCACGTGGTAGTCGATACCGGCCGAGTCGACCAGCACAGAGGCAAACAGCTGAACAGACTGTGGAGACAAGGGGAGGGCGTTAGGTGTTTAAAGAGGCACTGCCACTGACTGACGAGACAAGGGGAGGGCGTGAGGTGTTAGATGAGACATTGGCTGTCGAGAGCGAGATAATAGAAAGGGAAGGTTATGTAGCATTAACACCGACTGCCTGGACAGGCCGGGGGAGGTCTCCTAGAGGGTAGACTCAGCTCAGACTGTCGGAGGGATCAGAGAAGCTGGCAAAAACGGCGCAACATTGTGGTAGCGACACACATGTGGCTATCAGTTTCGCTGACAATGGGCCAGAGCTGACACGAACAGTTTCAGACTGTTGATTATTTTGGCAAATGGGTGTTGATCTATGTGAGCATGGGTGGCTTTTTAAACCAACCGGAGATTTTCGACGAAAACAGTGGCTTCCATAAGAAACTATAAGAAATATCTCATAGAAATGATGACCGTCATACCAGCCCGTCAGAAATATCTCACAAAATTAATGACAGCAATGTCCTAAATCGCATTTCGCGCCCCGCAGTACTGTGCTCGAAGTTCTGTTGACGCCAGTAGGGTCTGGTCGCCACTAACTCAGCAGACAAAGTCGGTCTGGTCAGTCGGCCCCAAGTTGGCACCAACAAAGTAGCAAGTTAGACACAAATGTTACTCTGCACACCACTCCCACAACGCAGAAAGAACGTAAAAACAGCGCCGCCAAAACGTAAACAAGAAATTAGCGATGAAGTTTGGTAAAAAAGAACAAGACACTATGTGGTCGAAATACTAAGCTCTACGAAAAAAGCGTGGTAAGAACATCGCGGGTTGAACTTAGCTATCTTTCTGCGGAATCTAACAAAAAGAGTAAATAGGACATTAACAAGGCCACTGATGCACTCAATCATATCGAGCTTCTAATTGATTTCGTAAACAGTAAACTTGATCGAAACCCTACCTAATCATTTTTCATCAGCAACCATCCAATACTCCAAGCGGGCATCAGACTCGCGACACCTCCTACCTTGAACAGTTTGGCGGCCTCGGCGTGCAGCGCCTCCGGCATGGTGGTGTGTGGCTGCTGGGGCGGCTCCTTGGCGTGTAGCAGCAGCGGGTGTCGCCACAGCACACACTCCGAGTCCCCGTCCAGCTCCATCAGCCGCTGAACCATCTGTTCGAACTGGGTACCGGCCGCGCCTCCGCCGCCCGAGACCACGGTCAGGTGGTACAGCCACTGGTCCTGTAACAGGGGGACGGGGGTTAGGGTGGTGGGTACTGCTACCCTCCGCCGCCCGAGACCACGGTCAGGTGGTACATACAGCCACTGGTCCTGTAACAGGGGGACGGGGGTTAGGGTAGTGGGTACTTCTACCCTCCGCCGCCCGAAGCTACCGTCAGATGGTACAGCCACTGGTCCTGTAATAAGGGGGACGGGGGTTAGGGTAGTGGGTACTTCTACCCTCCGCCGCCCGAAGCTACCGTCAGGTGGTACAGCCACTGGTCCTGTAATAAGGGGGACGGGGGTTAGGGTGGTGGGTACTACTACCCTCCGCCACCCGATACCACAGTGAGGTGGTACAGCCACTGGTCCTGTAATAGAGAAACGGTGAGAACATGGCGGTAGATGGGGACGAAAGACAGCCACTAGTCCTACTGCGGGAGGGACAGAGAAGTCACTGATAGTGGCGGGGAACAGCTGCTAGTCAAGTACAGCTAGACGAGGGCATGAGAGAGGTGAGGTACACTTAGACAGTTTAACTTGACAGTAAACACAAAGCAGAAGATATTGCAAGACCGCTGATTCTAAGGTGTCTAAGGATCCTGAAACAACTCTGAGACACGTCTTCAGACACAGCCCGAGACACCCCGGTCCACACAATATTCCACGGAGGAACCCAGCAGACACTGCAGGGAAAGCCCGGCTCTGCGGCGGGAGAGCCATCACTCTCCGATGGAGACTATTAAGGCCGCCGTCCACTGTGCGGAACGCGTGCGGTCCGTACGGAATTTAACACAGAACCCTATGGGCGCATCCGGTCCGTACGGAAATCGTGTGCGCTCCGTCCGGACCGCATCCGAACGGCAATCAGCTGTTGATTTTCCGTCAGCTCTCCGCATGCGTTTCGGATGCGGTTGCTACGGAGACGGAAGAGTGATGTCCGACGCGTTGAACTTTTCTGCGGAAAACGCATCCGGAACGTCCGGAACAGACGTGGTTTGGGGCCGTATCGGAGTCAAACATTGTGAATTGTACGAAGAATTGGAACTCGATCATCATGAAGTTAGTGAACATTATTTCCTTAGAATGGCAAGAGTATTCGCTGCTGGTTACTTGCAATATTTTATTTGGTAATGAGTGATAGGAAACATTTATTAGCTCTCCGCATCCGGACCGCATCCGGACCGGATGCGGCCAGCGTGCGGCGACATTCCGGACGGACTCCGGACGGAATTCCGTCGCAGTGGACGGCGGCCTTTACGGGTCGGCGGGAGGGAGGGAGTGTCGTCACACGTTCCGCAGGCCGGGAGACGGAGAGATGAGATGATGTAACCACACTGAGAGAGACGTAGGAGCACGGCGGCGAGTATGAACTACCGCTCCTGCTGGAGGTGTTCAGCTGTTCACAACACTGCTAGATGACACGCACGGACATGCCGAGAGCAGTTCACAAGACCGTTGAGCATACTGGGGTGACTGTTGACCGTTGACAGGGTGACCGTTGAGCATACTGTAAGCGTTAGCGTCTAGACTTACTCTGAAAAAATCACAAACAAAAACCTGTTTCAGTACAATATTCTTGAACGATTTGCAATGCAATTGTAGGCCTAATCCACTGGTTTGGTTGGTTCTAAAAGTACTTCCCTTATCAATCCAAATCCAGTACCAGACCAAGGAAGTGTTCCACGACAACTCCTCATACCGACCTCCGTCCCCCGTCGATGACTTGCCTTGTCTCCCTTGTTGGCCATGATGAAGTAGGTGGGACTCTGGTGGCTGGGGAACACGCCCACAGTCAGGTCAGCAGTCTGCGGCGGCGTGTCAGAGTCTTCGTCCGAGTCGGTGATGTGAGACACCTCCTCAACGCGGCAGTCGCGCATGTTGATCTGGCCGGACGCCACCTGAGAGTGGGGAGAGGTCGGAGCTCAAGGTAAGATGTAGCTGCGCGACTGAGGTCACACAGTCAGGCCGGGTCACAGAGGTCGCGTTATACCTAATGGTTAAATGATCACATAATCGCTAAGCGGATACTACTTCAATCAAATTTCAATTAAAGCTTGAGCTAAGTCAAACTTCCATTTTGCAAATGCAAAGCCCTTTCTCTGCACATTTGTGATGCTAAACATAGCATAGACAATAAGTAAAAGAGAACACTCTGACAAACTATCGATGATCATATCATATGGAGAAGAGGACACCTGCAGCCCAACCCTAAACCACCCACGTCTCGGTCTCCAATCAATAAATAGAACATTCTATGTAATCGGTATTCCAGCCGGCACAAATTTCGCTCGATTCTCACCGTGTCGTTGGGAGTTTTGAAGTAGAGCAGCATCTTTCCCACGAGGACGCACCAGCAGCGCTTAGAGTGGCCGTTTTTCACCTTTGTCAGCCAGCCTTGGATTGTAGAGCTGCAGTCTTCGCGGCTGAGCAGCAGATGAGCGGCGTTTCGGCGCAGGACGTTCTGGAGACACGAGTACAGCGGGAGGTCACAGTCAGGTCAGGTCACGCCGCGAAGCGTATCTACGGGTGAAGCATGTTGAGCATGACATATTTAAGGTAGGATATCGCTTACTAGCCCATGTGGGAATCATATTGCATATCAATGCCTAACAGAGATAACCGAATATCTATTATGTCGGTATCCATAATACAAATTCGGTAATCCCTGATTGAGAGTGATTATCGCATTAATGGAACCCATCCGGAAAACACCTGAATCCTAATGCGATTTCAGCCAAACACCATCTCCGTTTGCCATCGATTAATGTCATCGATTGGTATACCTAGCAGAGCCATTATTGGAATTCAGCAACAGCGTTTAGTTTCGACTCGCGGCAAATAGCACTTGACGGAAACCAATACAAGTGATATTTCCCAGGCCCATTCTCTTCGGGACAAACATGTCGACTTCAGTTTTGTGACGAATGCTGCTAGGCCTGCTACCCAGCCCGCAAAAAATGACGTGTTCAGATAAATGTTCCTTTCCAAGTTCCTTCCAGCGAGACACTGAGAAATTCAACATGTGCAGCTGCTTGGCAATCAATTATGCTGTAAAATGTACTTAACTACGCTAATCAACTCTTCAAATTGCATCATTTTTATATGGCTTTCATTTGACAACCAATAACCGAAGGCTTAGAGCATCAATCTAAGACAGTTTTCATTTCCGCTGGTTTCCAAGATACAACATGCAACCATTTCACGATGGTCCATACATCTAATTCGTACCGAAAAACTAGGTGACACATAGCAAACATAGCCCAACTTAGCAACCGATAATGTTAGATCTTGAAACATTCCCACCGATTACGAAATGCCAGCATCCGTTTGACTCAAAAGCACGGGACATGACCATCTGTGGAAAACTACTTGACAAGCACAGCAACATAATTCACATAATGAACGTGGGTTAGCAGTCACTTTCCCAGCAGAGGTCTCCTTGGCCCTCTCGAAACATCAGGAAACGTACGAAACTGACGGCACATCAGCTGCTGCTAACCAGTGAAGACCTGACGCAGATATCAATGACGTAATATCAGCTGCTGGTAACTCGCCGACATCAGTTGACGTGATCGTCCTACGTCACATACCAGCTGTATTGGAGGCCCGTGGGCGTAACGACACGACACGACCACGCCGATCGATCATCTCAATGCATCGGAGAGGGTGGAGAAAGCGAGGGCGAGGAGAGGGGGAAGGACAAGCCGGAAGGGGAGGAGGGCATGGGAGAGGAAGCGATGGGATGGGATGGGTGGGAACGCGAGGAGAGGCGATGGGAGAAGAGGGGAGTGAGCACGGAAGTGAGATATCTTTTCCTAATCTTCTAGCCAAAAAAAAAAAAACAACTGATGTCATGGCATCGGTGACCGAAGCCGAGACGTTCTCACTAAACATCTTAAATCGATCTGATGAAGCTGAGAACGAGAATAGCCATTCAGCGAAAGGACTCAAATGCGGAGAATAGCGCCATTCAGCGAGAAGATGCCACATGAAGCCCGTCAATAGACTAATGAGCCAAATGGAATTGGAAGGTGACTAATGAGCACACCCGACAAAAGTCAGAGACGCCATCGCCGCCGGACGTGGACTCCGATATGGTGCCAGATGAAAGTTTGAGTAGGCGGTGCTCAGATGCGGGGAATGGGAACAAAAAATGTGCCAAAGATTTGCAACTGAATCGCAAGCGATGCCAAATGAGACCAACGAAGTGACGTAAAAGATGCTTGTCTAAAAATACGAGCACCACTCATAGCAGCCTCTCAAAGTTTCTTTGACAGACTTCTGCAACTTTGCAAGTCCAGAAATACACCGGAGCTTTCACAGGAACATCAAGTTCCTCATATGGATTATGTTTGCCAGAAACCTTACTAACAACTCCGGAACTTCCCACAACTTCCTACCTCTTCCAGTACTCAGATCGGCTCTGAGGACCCTCACCGGTCGGATCGTGCCGAGGCGAGAAAGAGGAAACGTTGTAGTATTTCTGTGGCGCCTCTCGACACAGCATCAGTACCATCATAATCACCAACATCAGCACCATCATGTTAAGCACCAACAGGGCCATCACCAGTGGCAGCTTTAGAGAAGTCCGGACAGCGACAGAGTCGGCGGCCAGCCGGCGGGAATATTAACAGCGCTGCAGCGCCGCTGAACATATGGGCCCGTTCCGACGACGGCCGGCCCAAACCGAATGTCATGAATACAAATGTGTCATTTGTCATGGGGCGGCGGCGCCGCCTCCCACCCCCACGGCCACCCGTCCGCAGCCGGCAGGGCTGAGGAAGCCATGGTGCTTTACCATGGTGAGTCGCGGACTTGAGGTAGGGAGACTAGACAACTAAATCCGAGATAAGAAGCCTGCAGATATCAGAAGGAGAAACTCCTATGGATATCGGAATAGCAAACTATAGCCCCCTTGGATAGGGAAGACACTACTGAAACCTCTCCATCAAGCTGTCCCACAGATTGGAGACACTCTACAGCCACTCTTTAACTAAGGTAGACTCTGTAACCCCTCCACAGTCGCTGACGAGCCAGTAGCGGCATCCAGTCTGATTTGATGGCTCCATTCGACGATCGACCCATTGGGGCCATAACGCTTACGCGAGGCTCAGCCAGCGCCATACCGGTCGCCGCTCGATAACCCGTTATTGACGCCTATGAGCGCGCGACCATTCATTTCGAGCAACTAGTGACCCATCCGACCAGACTGCGGCGGTTTGAATTGCGGCAGAATTAGTGGTCTTGTGGTGCTTACAGTGCATGCAATGTTAGGATGGATATAATATGGCACAGGGACATGCGCCCAAGGATAGGAAGGTACTAGCTGAACATAACCCTGTATGTGGCCGTCCAGCAAAAGCAGGTCACGGCACATAAGCTGCGAGGAAAAGCACTCACGATCGAACAATCGCAATGGGAATAAAGCAGGCAATGGGCATGAATGTCAAGTTATCCTAGCACTTCAAATACGTTCTTCCGCCGCCAAGCAACTATTTGGTTGCGTTGTTTACCATTCGCTATTCCATCACTTATTTCTTTTTTATCCACAAAACTTATTTGCACACCTTCAATCCATCAGCCATCGAGTTCAGACGTCATAACTAGACTCAGCACAGGTGGCAGACCATTCTCACTGTCTCTAAACTTTGAGCAGAGCACCCTCCTGCCCACAATATCACCTTCCCAGGCGCCCCCCCCCCCCTAGCATCCATGCCACTCCCAACATATCGGCAGCACTCTTCCCACCCTATCCCCCCACCCAGCACCCATTCTGCACCCATGCTGCACCCGTGAATCTCACCTGCAGCACCCGCACCCATTCGTCCACTGTACTCGTGTTGTCCGCCGTCAGGTAGATGGTCTTTTTGGCCGTGCCGACCTCGAAGGTGTGCGCTCCCTCCTGGCGGGTGACGCGACACCGCTCGTCCAGGCTGATCTCGCCCTGCGGAGCCTTACGAGACACGTCGTGCTGGCGGCGGGGGTCATGGGTTAAGAACTGGGAGACAGTGTCAGAAGTAAGAAATCAGAAATCCTATGGTTCATAGATCCGTTAAAGTAGGGAAGCTTTTGCTAACAAAGTAAGATTAAAATGGCAAGCGAAGTGTTAAATGGAAGATTTATGATTTGTTGATGAGTTTAGCAAGCAAAATAGACAGCATTGTGATCTATAGAAATGTTGACCTGTCGGTCTATTTTAGATGGAGTGTGCTTTTAGTTTTCCATTTCAGGTCACCACATGGGAGCTGCAGAACCAATAACAGCACCGACCGAGACATTGATACGCTGAGCAAAACACAGGTAAAGCTAAGCGGAAGGCCACAGCCGAAGATCACAGCACACTGAGCTTGCCTTGGACTTCCAGTACATCAGGCTGCCGTCCTTAAGGACGAACCAGCGCTTCCGCCACGTCTTCAGCTTGCCGCTGAGCTTCGTCAGGTAGCCGGAACGCTCCAGAGCCTTGGCCTGGTGGAAAAGAGAAGCAGTTAGTGTTGTAAGAAGAGACCGTTGAAGCTGACAGTGGGGGAGGGGCGAGTCGAGACGATTTTATGAAAAGGGACGAGACACCTATGGGCGATTTGATTCCAAAAGAAAAACAGCTGCAAAATGAAAAAGGAAAAAGCTGACAAAATGGCAACAGAACGAAGTTCTGCTCATCGAGTCATGGAATTGTTTTTTTTTTTTCAAGCATGCCTACAAATCCAGCCTTCATTCCTACAACCCAGGCCAGGACGAAGCATTCAAAGTGATGCGCCTCCTGAACTGCTAAGCACCAAAAGCATGGCTCGACACCACTAAGTAGATGTAAATTAACGATCCCTCATTAACTGGAAGCGCCCTAATCTTCATACGTAAGCAGCCTCGTAACTAAAAGTCAGCCCTGCGTTCTCACGAATATCAACGGTACTTTGCATTCCGCCACGCATAAATCGGATTAAGACAGACAAAATGATCATGATTTTCGCCAAACCCATCCAAATCATCGCTAATTCTAATGAAATTAATTTCGATTTTTAATAACACTGGCAAGAATCGTGTCTCTCTCGCATAAATTGCTTCCCACGTCGATCTTGCCTGTTAAGCATAGCGCTGGGCGCATAAATTGTTGAACAGTTCCCTAGGGTGGCATTATCTGGGTCGCCAGGCGAACATCAGCCCAGATGGAGCACACGCTGAGGCTCGTCCGTCAGAGCGGAGGTCCATTAGAGCAAACGGCGCCTACGTTACCGTTAACACAGAACACAGCGGGCCTAAGCAGCTTACTAAACGTATTTAACCAAGCTCGCCCACCACAAACAGGATAGCACTTGATGGCTCGAAGGATTTCATATAACGAAACTCACCCGGCCGTCCTACCGACAGGCCTTAGTCTCATCACCAACAACACTGAGCAGAGCGCGCGGAGCTTCCGAACAACACACCTAACCCGCCTACCCCGCGTAACAACCACCCAGTCCTTAGCCTCGCCAGTCCTTCACAACTAACCTTCTTGAGTGAGCCGGCTGCGTACGAGCCTCTTGTCATGGCAGAGTCCACACTAGCGGCGTCGGCGTCCGGGGGCAGCGCGTAGTCGGCCGTGGTGTCTGCCTCGACACTGTGTTCTGTAGGAGGAGAGGTAAATGTGGGGTCAGTAGGGGGTCATCTGGGGCCGAAGGGGTCACCCAGGGGTCAGGGGTGTAAATGACACGTTGCACGGTGCACAAGAGGATGAAAAGGGAAAACCACTCATAGTATCTAGAAGAAAAGCCGTCCTAGAAACAAGCTGAAAAATGTGCCAGCAAAGGCCAGGGAAGTTCGCAATGCTGGTAGTTTAAAATGCATGGTCATTGCACAAAATTGCAGATGAAATGCCACAAACACAATAAGCCAAGAAGGTCAGCACGACATTCTCAGAAACGACAATGGGCGAAGGAAACAGAATATGCCGATCGTCTCGTATCAACCAAGAAGGTCGTTGGCTATCTCCAGTCCTGCCACATTATGAGACAGAGCACAATTGTGAGGCACAAAGCGACAATAGCACAATGGCCACAACTGACAATGGTGATAATCCGATGTTATTACAGAACGCCGCCCCATGGGAAACCAATGTGCGCCCCAGAGTATCCGTCCTGTAGAAAAGGGGACGTGGACATTGGGCATTGGGGCAACTAGCCAGACGACAACAAACAGTAGACTGTAGGACTTGGGAGGGAAACAAATGTTCACAATCTACTCGTCATATCAACCAGCGAGCAAAAAGTGAGCATCCCAGCATCCCAGCAAGTGACCACAGCAACCATCGACTGATCCAACAGGCCTGGGAATCAAACCCACCAGCGACTGAAAATTGCCCATATCGCCACACACACCACCGCACCCCCGGTGGCAGTGCGCACTCCCGGACCGATCATTATCGACGTAAGCGGCGCCGCCGCCGCACCGCCGCAACATCGGTCATTGCAAACAGCTGCTCGCGACGGGGGGAGTGGGAGGAAGGAGGGGGTAAGCAATATGGAAAGAAGTCGCCGTGCGTGCAAGCCAGAACTCTCGAATATTGAGCAAAGCGGAGAGAACAGGAAGAGTGAACTCGAACCAGAGTCATAATCCGACAGGCAAAGCCTAACGGCGCATTAAATACCATAACACCCTGGGCATTGTGGTAGAGTGAAGCTGGAAATGAGCTTGAACGCTCAGTATAAACAAGTCGATTCGAGTGGTACGCACTATAATCGACTGGTGTTTTGGACTAACGCGGCTAATGCAATGTCAGGCGCTACCATAGTAATTGAGGGACGGTGTTTTCACGCAGGCTCAAAACAGCATCAAGCTCAATAATGGGATTAGGTACATAATATTGCCTATAATACGATCTGTGACTGTGCCAATTATTCGAGCTAGGGCGAGCAGCAGAATTTTGACACAAGTATTCACCTAAAAATAACGATGGTAAATTAGCGACAACATTGAAGGTAAGACCCAACTAGTACCGAAAACATCTAAGAAGTTAATTACTTCTGTTCGACGCTCACCTCTGCGTGGGCTGCGTGACGGGCTGACGGTTTTGGCCGGACTGGACTTGGACTTTGAGGGCGAGCTGACGGTATCGTCCGAGGACCCGGTGTGGCTGTGTCGACCGGCACGTGCCGCTCCGACCGGCTCCTCCTCGCCCTCCGAGCTGTCAGAGCTGTCCCCGGTGAACGGCACAGAGCGGATCTGAGAGGCGCGCTGAAACAGAGAGTAAGGGGAAGATAACACGCAGAGCGGATCTGAGAGGCGCGCTGAAACATACAGAGGGGGCACGGTGAACCAGGGTAATGTCTTGTGAACGACACAGAGTGGATCTGAGAGACGCGCTGAAACGGACAGAGGTGGCGCGGTGAACGACATAGAGCGGATCTGAGAGGCGCGCTGAAACAGACAGAGGTGGCACGTTAAACCAGGGTAATAATGGTAAACGGTACAGAGCGGATCTGAGAACCGCTATGACAGAGTGTATATAGAGGAGGTACAGTGAACGGCACAGAGCAAATCTGAGAGGCGCGCTGAAAAATACATACAGAAATGAGGCAAGGCAACGTGAGGCACGGAGCGGAGTGAGGCGGAGGAAGAGACAAGTGGAATAATAATCAATATACAACTTTACCACACGGTATCCATGCGTAGCAATATTCATTCACGAATTGCCAATGCAGGTGCACCATCTGAACTATTCTGTAATATGCTTTATATCCAAGAGCTTTTTTATCGGGGCTTTACGGCGCTCCGACACCAATAGCCATTTTCAGCCCATTGTCTATCTCTTGCTGTCACACTGAAAACAGTTTAACCCAGGGCCGGCGAGTAAACCGGTGTTTCGCGGGTACCCCTATCCGCAACCATTTTTAACCACCCTCCCAGGAGTACATACTAAGGTCCCATTGCAGTGTAGCCGTATCTGCCTCAGCGGTTATATCCGCTCAGAGCAGGTATGACTAAAAGGGGTTACCCTCCACGCCTACCCTTCGCTGACCAAGTCACGAGGTCCAAAAAAACTCCCACGCTTGACCATATTTGAGGGAAATCATCGATATCATGACAATCTCGCACCTAGAAAACATCGGTGAGAAAGTTTCACGTCGGTGGGAACGGTCATATCGAATTCCCATAGAAAATTCGACATGACCCATGGTCACCGGTATAGTCGTACAGACCGCCCGAGATCAAGAAGATATCTCGCGACTGCTTTCGTGTTCTTTATAAGAATCAAAATGGTCTCACTTGGTAGTTTCGGAAGAAAAGGCGTTGCCAATCGTCCCGTGATGAATATTGCAGAGGTTTTATAGATGCATCCTAACAATTGTGCTTTCGCCCCCACTTGAAACCGCCAAACAATGTGCCAATATATCATTGGTGCAAAAAAGTTAAAAAATTGCTGTAATTCAAAACTGTATGAGACAACGCCATCTAGTTGTGCCAGTAGATCCAACTCCTTCAGGGCAGGTTATGTGAAGGTTCGCCATCCATGGATACGCGTTTACGATATCTCGAGTAGTTCCAACTCTTTCAGTGAGGGCTATGCCAATGACTCGACACCCGCGGGGACAATATCTTAGTAGCTACCTTACTGCAGACTGTTGGTACGGTGCATATTTACGAGTAATAAGGCAGGCAAGTCTGCTTACCCTCTAGCTAGAATCTGGACATGGCGAGTTAATACACATATACCACCCGCAGAGCAACGCTTAATTCGCCAGCTTCGGGTAAAATTGCTTTCAGTGCACCCAGTTTCCTTTGGAAACCGACCGCAGCCCAAACTTGTCTCCTTTCAGTATTGTCTACTCCTCTTCGTCTCCCAGAGTCTAGATATACGAGTGTCTCGGTCCGCCCAATAGCCACCATTCTCTCCAATCTTTCTCCCTCCGTAATCCACCGATGCTTCCCGCCTTCGCGTCGCAGCGGTCTGCGGCAGGGATAGAAGCCAGACGGGTACGATACTGGACACTTCAGGATACTATAGGTGTCTCGATTAAACACTAACCAAAACACACGGTCTGTTAGGACCTTGACACATTGGAGAGCCGCACAGTTACGGGCTCCATTTCGGAGAGTAATCAGTAGCCGGGCCTATCTGGCATCCCAGACGGCTCGGCGCTGCGCCGACCATCGCTCATCCGGCCGCCGACGGCAACCATAGCCGCCGGCGTTCCGGGCCGGGTCGTTCGGCAACCGTCACAAATATCCAATCAATAAAACTACGAGCTTGTGATTCAACTCCAAGCAATGCGACTAACCATAAAAGTAGCTAGAAGTTGACTGATGTTCATCTGTGTCAAGATTCCTCGCCTCTGCTGGCCCGTATACTGGAAGCCCACACATCAAAAAAATCGATATAGAAATTTGAGACGTCCATGGATCCGTAAAATGCGTGAATATACGGGGACCCGTCCATAGATGCGGCTCCAGATATGTGCGTAGAAGCCTTGATTCAGTAATATGACACCTTCCCGTGGAAAGGGTGCCCGGTCATCCGATCGACAGAAGACGAAGCTTTTCCCGGCGGCGGCCGGCCGTCCGGCGTCCTCCGTCTTGGCTACCATTGGACACAGCCGGAGCCGCCTCAATAATGTACCAGCCCATCCACACCCAGACCGACAGCGTCGAACTCGATATCTGCCGAGCTGAGCCAATAAGAGACGGGAGAGTGGACAGGATGGGAGGTACGGGATATGACAGAGCGAGTGGAAACGGGACGGAGAGGAGCGGGATGTGACCGGACGGGACAGGGCAGGGAGGATTGTGACAGGACAGAACAGGACAGGACAGGAAGAAAAGAAGCAGTCATGGCCGGAGAGGGTCAGGACAGAGCCGGTCGAGTCGAGATGAGGAGGGCACGCCGGGATAAAACGGGAGTCGAGACAAATTATGACGGGCTGGGGCGGGCAGGGCGGGACGAAGCGCATTTGGACGGAGCGGGTCAGGCAGTGTTATGGGCCTGACAGTTGAGGCCCGATCGAGGGGCGGGCGGCCGGCAGAGATATAGGTCTCCATCTGACTGAAGGGGCGGGAGCCGGGGCAGGATTTAACTAAGAGGGAGGGCTGGAAATCGGGCCTGGTCCACGTGATAAAGAGTGGACGGATTTCTTAGAAGCGATTCCGATGTCCCTTGCCTCCATGAATAAGAAAATGAGATTAGGCTATCATTGATTGATCACTATAATTTAAGGAATCCCTGAAAATGACCTTCCGTTTAGACCGTCCTTGGTGTGCATCTGCTTCTTGGTAATTGGGCTTCAAGCATGCCTACAGAACTGGGTAATAAGTCCCATAGCAGTCACTAATCGAAGGTTACACAATGACAGCAGGCGTTTGTCCTTCCGGTACTCAGCATTCGGGCCTTTTACCCTTTGACTGTGGCGTAGATGGGTACTCAGCACTTACCCCTTTGACGGTGGCGTAGACTGGCACTGATACGTCCGAGTAGTTGGAAACGGTGGAAAGTCGCGAGCCAGCGCCATTGGTGGTCGTCCCCAGTGCCGCTGGCGATGCGATGCCCTTCTGGGCCACCTGGAGACACAAGTTGGGAGTCAGGGTCAGCCAGAGAAGTGAAGAGAATGATACAGTGAGGTGAGGTGAGACAGACGCTTTTATTTTGTACCATCTTTACCTCAGATAGGGAACCTAACAGATTAAGAGCTCCTAACAGATTAAGAGCTGAGAGCAGATATAAGTCTAATGGGGCTGTTGAGCCTCGATTCCAGAGAGCGGAATCGGTCTAATCCATTCCACTTACGCAGTGCCACCGGGAAGCACTTCAACACGGGTACATTCTCGGTACATGCTACCGTTCCAGTTAACTGTCCAACAGGTCCGCTCTCATTTCCCGGTACATGGTCTCATTCCAGCCTTACTGCCCCCCCCCCCCCCCCTGTGGCCAGTGACATCGCGTCTCGTCGGTCCCATTTGGGGCGGCTCCGCTCGAAAGACCGTCCGCCACTCGTCGGTACTACTCCACCGGCTACCCACCTTTCCACGAATGCCCCACCCCCAGCCCGCCCCGCGCAGTCGCTCACCTGGTAGATCTTGGCCTCCCACGACGGAAACCGGTGCAGCGGCGGGGTGGGCGGCTTGCTGTCTCCGCCCGCCCCCTCCTCCCGCAGCCATCGGTAGCCGTCAGCGCTCGGTGTGTAGATCTCACTGTAGTCGTGCATCTCATCCTCGGCGGCTGTGGGCGGCGGCGGCCGGCCGCGAGGCGGAGGAGCCGGCGCCAGCTCCGGAGGAGTGTTCGGTGACAGGTCGTGCGGCGTCTCCAGATCCACCGAGCCAGAGTCGACGCGAGAGTCGCGTGACGCCCGCATACCGCCGCCGCTGCCGGCAGCGTCACTCGGCGCGTAGCGTTTGCGCTCCACGGTCAGTGGCGGTGGCCCGGCAGGTGGAGGCGCGGCGCGACCCTTCCGCGACCGGTCTACCTCTGCGTAGAGTGCGTGGGGGTCGAGAGGTGGCACGCGTCGTGCAGGGAGCTCCGGCGGGATGCTCTCGTCACTGCCGGGTCGGTCACCTTCGTAGCTGCCGCGTGATGAGTCCTGCCGGCAAAAGAGAGCAGCGTTAGAGACGAGGGAACCGTCCCCTGACAACGTAACTGTTACTCCATTCGTAACATCTACAGCGTATAATGCCAGTCATAATATAGGTATTAGGTAGTCCAACTGTGAATCATCGGTTTGTTTTCACGCTTGAGGATTGCTCGCCCCGTGGGCTTTTACTGTATATCTCCATGTGGATGGCCCGCTCATGGGCCTCCATTGTGTCCCCGAGTATAGTCGACCCGCCCAGCCCGCGACCTTCTATTGTCCCCGGCGGGTGGACCTCCCTGGGGAGACGGCGGCCGCCTCGCGGCCGGCCGCCGTCTGTAGACCTCCCTGGGGATGTGACCCGGTCACCGCGGTCTGCCACTCGGTAATGGGATGAGAGGCGGTCGGCCCGCGGGTCGATCACACCACAGCGACCACCGACAGCCACCGACGGCTGGTGACCGGCCGGCGGGCCACGAGGAGCGGCGGTACCAACGGCGATAACGACCGGCACACTCGGCGGGCGTTCGGACTGTGTGAATGCTGGCTTACTCGGTAGTGTATCGGGTTGGTGTCTTGATTTAGCTCCAAACGTAGTCTAGCTGCTTATTTTTAGAACATATTACAAGACGCTTATGATTTATACCGTCCAGCACGATCAGCTAGATTTATATCGAACTTCCCAATTCAAAGGTTAGCTATATTCTCGTGACACTCACGCGACACCGATAGCTCGCCTTAAAACCACGCAAAGTTGCTCGCAGCGAGCCATCCATATGCAATATGTCCCCCGCCTGTCCTATAACAGACCTGCGTGGCGCACCGGTCATCTATTCTGAAACTGACCGCAGCAGACTCGGCTGCACCAGCTTATGAGAAGCTTCAATCTCAACTCGACGAAACATATTTTAGCCAAATATAAGCAGGAAAACAGCGTTCAATTCTTTCAACCCACTCTGGACTGACGGAGCTATCTCACTCGGCTGACTCTGCCAACTAGGCCCGGTACCCGACTTCTAAATCACCCGGACACAATTCAGCACACGTCAGCTGCTCAATAAAGGCGACCACCGCGGCGCGTCCGCCGCCCGCGCACCACGTCTGCCGCCCCCGCGCCACGTTCGGGCCAAGTCCGCCTCCCACGCATGGCATTGCCGTCCAGCGCTTTATGCAGCAAAGGGAACGCCGGTGTGAGGATTGAACTCAGTGTAGCGGTGTGGTGAGATCAAACAGAACAGGCGCCGCCGGGTAATGAGTAGCACGGAGCAAGAGCGTTTCATCCTGCGGCTGAACACTTCCGTGTTGGGTTACGCGACAGAAGTAACTACAGACAAACAATGTCATTACCTGGTGTCTGCTCTGCAGCAAAAACAGCACGCCTTTACACGCAAAAAAGGAGCCAACAGACATCACCACTGAGCAAAGGGTTAGCAAAAACGCCTTAGCGAGGGCACGTCAAACAAAAGAAGCAAACTAATTGTATGGGTGAACCTTACTTATTATTTCCCAAAGGAGGGTTCCGGGTACCTATATGATAAACAGTTCACATTATCAAGCTACAAAGAAGCTTGAACGTTTTGCTAGAAGCGAGTGTTCACAATTCCACTTCACATCGGCTTTGGCCTTGTTTTGGGTCAAGTAAGACCGCACCCGAGAAATAATTGTCGTGGATCCTTACACAGAGCCCGCCGCTGTCTGTCCTACGGCGTAAAACCCGAAATTGGCTTATCGCCTGCGCAGTACCTACCCCCAGTCCGACCGAGCGCACCGACCGAGCACCGCACCACGGCGAGACCCCAAACATTTGACCCAACTACCGCAGTGCAGTATCAGCGTACAAAACTAACGACGGCTCATTCAATAGAGCGAAATCAGAGTGAGTGCCGTGACAGCACCCGGGCATTAGTCGACCCCGGCGCAGTTGTCGCGACAAATTGAATTAGGGCAAACTACCGCTTTGGTTCGCGCATTGCGCGACAACGTCCAGTGACGTCAGAAAGGGCCAATGACGTCACTAATGCCCGTTCCGAAACCGACAACACATCAGCCAACGGGCAATGCTCGACATAGTGGGGACATTCCACAGTCAAGTATGTAAGAGCAATTGCAAGTTATTACCATCCACACCAAGCATCTATATGTTGCGCGACAAAACTAAAAGACAAAGCGAAAGAGATCCTCGGAGACAAAAAAAAAAAAACACAAACACACACAATACCACACACGCGCACACAGGTCACAGCAGCGGCGCCTATGTATCCTTACCTCTGTGCTGGCTCGCTGTTTGGCCTTGAACTCGTTGAGCTGGGTGAGCCGGTTCCGAAGAAGCTGCAGCTGCTCGTTACACCGCTGATTCTGCTCCCGGAGGTACTGGTTCTGCTCCTCCAGCTGTTGAACAATACAGAGAGCACATCGTAAGCGGGTGTATGACTGAGAGGCGATCGTGGACTGGAGGACGATGACTTTATCCACATACTCGTATACCAGTGAAAAAAGGCTGAATCGTTTTGAGAAACGTCGAAATGAAGAGTAATTATTTTCTAAAAGCAAATTAGTTCAAGAATGTAACATTTTTAATCTACCGGCCAATGGCCATCGAAAAGGACAATGTATTAGATCTTTTCGAATTAAGGAACGGTATATGACAGTATGTCTTAAACACAGTGATCTTACTCCGAAGCATTTAAAACGAAGGAATCAATGTCTCCAAAAACAAATCATTCCTACGCATTCGTCAGCGTATTCATCAAACAAACATCCATTCTGTCAGATCTCCCAGTATTTCACTGGGACAGAAGGGCGTCCCTCCGTCCTCTCATTCCAACATCAAACAGAGACAAAAGAATACGGGGCCCTCATTTGCAGTGCACACAGTAACCGAGGAAGCCGGTCGCGGCGACCAGCGAATCGTGCTGACGCATAACAAAGAGCCAACCCCCGGGCCCGACGGTAGCTCCCTACAGAAGCGGATCGTGCCTGGTTCACATCGAGGTCACCCGGCCGCAGGGAGGTAGCGCTGGGTCTCTGAGGTCATTCGTTCGTCGCCCCAGGGCACACCGTTTAACTCGCAGCAGGGTGCGCACTACACGAGCCGGTGACAAATTAACGGCCTCGTTAAGGACAGGCCGGCGGCCATTAGTGGCGACAATGGTGTTAGGACGGTCCGGAAACGGCGGCGGTTGTACGTGATCGTGGTAAGACGCGCTCCGCCTGGGGGTAGGGAGGGGGCAGGCTACCCACGGCGGGAGGTTTTGGTGTGCAGAATGTAATTGCACCCAAAGGGCAATACCGGAGGCTGTGGACTGTTGGTTGTGAAGTAGGTATGATAAATAAACGGACCCACAGGGTTAGGTTAGGAAGGGAAACTGCGGTGTGATTGATACGCAAGAGCAAGAGAGCTAACGGGCCAGAATGGAAGACAGAATGGCGCGACGGTCCCCAAAACCCGCTCGGAAACTCGCCTAGTGAGAGATTCCGCTGCGGCGTAACGTACGGTCTCATTAGACCCGATAATTAATGTTCATAAGTGGAATGGTCGGCCCGGCTTTGTCGAATACAACGGCCGATGATTAATGGTAGGCCATTATTCAACGACCTCATTTCCTCCGTGTGGCAGCTTTCAATGCCGCTGTTTGACGACCCCTTTCAAGGACCGCGGCAGCTAGGCCAAACGTCCGACCGCACGCGGCCGAGCGCCGCGCGGGCGCGGGCGACTGAGCTATGCGGCACAGCCTAACTGCAGGCGTTCACCATCACTGCCATCTATCGGCGAGATTGGTAACTCGTCTGAAAGCTGGAAGCGTTGCAGCTTTTTGGGAAATTCAGCAAATTAAAATGATAGTTTTCTATGGTATCAAAAGAAGCACAATGAACTAAATGAAAGCACTGAAGAATGCGATAAGCATAACGACATTTTTCAAAAACCGCAGGGCGACTATTATAGGCAATCATAAGACATCGACAGCACCGTATCTATGAATTTCTCGCTAACGTAATGCCGATGCACAGCCATCTCCACGTAAAAGTCAGACAGAGAAGGAACAGCATTTAAATAAGCCCCGATCTTTCTGAATCCACCCCAGACTGAGCCTATTCAATCACACGTACCGTGAACCGAGATTTGTTCTGAATATGATGATCCTAGAAGTCCACATAAAACTCAGAGACCGCGGGCTGTTCAGTTAGCATTCAAGACGAGAACGCCATTTTGATGGCATAAATGAAACGAGGGCGTTAAATTTTGAAATAGAATAGCCTCTGACTAATTTCTTGCCAAACTGGCAGTTCATAAGCCATTCATATTGCATTATTGCAGCAGTTACTGGAAAAATAATAATTCAAAGTCAGCATAAGGTTTATTGTCCAGAACAAGCTTATACAATTACATTGTACATTTTGTCTCAATAGTGGCCAGCAGACCAGTTTTCATGTCTGCAAATTTACCCTCTAGCTAGCCCCAGTGAGCTTTCGTATCACTTCCCAGCCAATCTTCGCGGCTCTCCAATAATCGGGGATGATTGGCTGACACCTAGCCGCTCCCCGCGCGGCCGGCCGGACCCATCGTGCCCCCGGGCGGTGGCCGGCCAAAGGTCACGGATCGCCGGATTACCAGCCAATCAGGAGCCGGGCAGCGCCGGAGAGCTATGGCGCCGCGATAACTGTGATAGCCGGCTCCGGGAGGTGAAGGAGGAGCGAGCTGTCTGAGCTGGAAGGTAGTTGCAGACTGGGCCAGGAGAGAGAGGCTGTTCTGTGTCTAAAGGCAAAGACCGAGGAGAAGGCCATTCGATATCCAAGGGTACGAAAGGGGGAAATAAGTTAGATATTTTATGGTACGGGAAGGGGAGGAGAGCTGCCCGATTCCTAAAGTACGAGGAAATAGGGACAACTTTTCTTTTTATGTTTTAAAATAGTTGGTTAAGGCTTCTTGGTATAATACGTAAAAAAGGCAGTAAAACAAGACAGTGAAAGCCAAAAGTGGAGCTATCACCTTAGGGCTTGTCTTGGCGCTTGCGCCTAGCCATTGGGTTTGTAAACGCGAACTCAACCACAAGCGTGAAACGATAAATTCGACACACAAAATAGAAATTTCCTACCATATCTCAGGAAAAAAGGGAGGACAACATTATGATGGTGATGATGATTATGACGAACCACATCGCCCATGAAAGGTAACAACTTCAGGCGCAGGCCTGACAGCCGCGACACTTTGACAGAGAAGAGCAGAGGTATGTAGTTAAAAGGACGAGGGAAAGCCGGAGCACGTGTCGTTTAAAGGGACTATCCCACCTTTAACATGGGGTTTGAGTTGAGATAGCCAAGTTTGCGGCGAGGTTCAGAAACCACTATCTATCTAGGTTGCAACCCCCGCGGCCTCTTGGTGTTGAAGAAATTCGTTCCCTTCATTTGAAAATGGGCCTTGTACAAGGCCCTATCTTCAACATGGAGCGACCGTTAGTGTGACGTCACCTCGTTTAGTCATTCTGATTTAAATGGGTTTGTTCATTGAAAAATCGCATAAAACTTGGTCTGAACTTTGTTGTGGTGCCTACAGAGTAAAAAGAATCAGCTTTATGACAGTAATGTGGCCTGGGGAAGGAGGTAATTTTGGGCTGTGACGTCACATATTTGAAAGTTTGTGTTTAGAATATGGGAAGCCTAAGATGTTTAATGAAAAATAAATGCCAGAACCGTGTTCCTGGTCATCCAATCTATAAAGTCGGGCACAATTTAACTGGTTTTAACAACATTTTAGAAGGTGGGATAGTCCCTTTAACGCTTTATCGCTTAGAGTAAAAACATGTCGGCCATTACGGCGAGAAGAGACCGACTCTGAAAGGTCCCCAGAGGCGCCATCATGTCACGCAAAATAAAACGGAAGAGTACGCCGAAACGTGCCGCAGTGGCGCAGAACAATGCCATCGCGCTGTCTCCTTTGTTCAGCGCCCCGGGCTGTCCTACGCTGTAGAGAGGGCAGCGTTAGGAGCTGTGCCACGCTGTACTCACGTCTCTCAGTTTGTTGGTGACCCAGTCTTTGATTCGGGCTGCCTTGGCCTCAACTTGCTTGGCCTCGTTCAGTCGCAACATGCGCTGCTCTTCCACCTGTGAGAAGGAACAAGAGGGTTAATGACATATGACAAGCACTGCACAGTGCCACTAACACCTTGGATCAGCGGTAAATTGTACAAGGTCACGGTCACTGGCACCTTGATCAGCGGAATTTAGTCACTGGCAACCAGTATCACTGATAAACCATCACAGACACCTTGGAATATGTATATTGTACATCATATATGTTTGGTCAGTGGTCACTGCACATTTTCAACTAACACAAGATTGGATCATTTACCCGAAGTGGAAGAGAAGAGTGATCTATGGCAAATGTGCCTGAGGACTGAAGCCGACGAGGTCAGCGTTTGGTCAATCAGGATTCAGGGATACGCGCACATAATTGACAGCTGCGATCCGTACGCGATCTATGAAAGGTTTCGTGCGCATAGGTGCTTCCAGCTCTGATCATTCAATGTCCACTGTTCAGCCTACCTCGAGTTTCAATTTAATCGAGCGGCGATAATCCACCAAATGCCTGCGAGCTCCACAGGCCGAACGCTACGATCAATTACATCACCTCCCTTCCGCCGCTCTCCATCAGAATTCGCAAACGATGTTACAATAGTTACTGTCAAATTAAATTTGTCAAGAAAGTACGTACTTATGTCAGGTCAACCATATCACGACATTCGATTGTTACCGTTATCCGTTCTCTTCTCCCTATCATTTTCCGCACCATTATCCATCTTCCGCCCACTTCCCGCCTAGTTCACTATCTCGCCCTTCTCCCCACCCATTCTGTTCCCCACTCCCGTCCTTCACTCCATCATGCTCTCCATCTTCGGTGCCGCTCGCCGGCCTGTCCTCCGTCCGTCCCGTTCTGGTGTGCGGCGCCGTGGAGGCTGCCTCCGGCCGTCCCAGGCGGTGGCGGCACGCAGACGGGACACACTCGACCATCGATCGACCAGCGGTGGTGGCAGCGGCACGACAGATCACCCCGTCCCGGGAACACCGCGCTGGGTGCAAACACCCGCAAAAATACCGCGGATGTGGAATGTGTGGTATTGAGAGAAAATCTAGTGATTTTAGATGCTGCGTAGTGGTTGGTATTTTTAGATGTTCGCATGCTGCACACTCAAGGTTGAAAATCATCTGATTACGTAAGACAGCTTGGGAAAATATCATCCTGACGCTTGCCGTGCTATGAGAAACTCGCATTTTTTCTTCAAAATTTATTATTTTTGCCCGTAACTACAGTCATTGCCTAACATCTAACACTAAAACATCTAGAAAAGCTTGCAGCGGCGTCTAACCGTTCCTCTTTGCTATCCCTCCTCAACCAGCTCACTCGTCGGCCTACCCCGTTGTTGACTGACATTATGTCGCCACGCTACTGACGCCACTCTTCTCGATTGATTTATTCCACTATCGACCAACCAATCCCACTATGAATGATTTCTCGAATTGGCCCGATTCTAGCCGCTGTCAGCCCTCTAGCTGTTCCCTCTCATACGTGAACAGCTGTCGTTCAGCGTCACGGCCTGCGACGCCATTGAGCCAATCAGACACGCGAATGAATATCGCCGAGCAGCGAAGGACAGTCTCCCAGAAAATTGCGCAGATTTCCCGGAGGGGCCGTAACCGAACCAGAGGTGGTAGTGTTCGATCGGAGAGAAAAGTACACGAGCAGACCTAGACACGCGGCGGAGAACGCAGTGAGAGCTCCGCGGAAACCAGACACTTGTCTTGGAGACAGGATGAACAGGGACGCCTCAGCAATGCGACGATCAGCTCAAATGGTGCAAGTTAGAACAGCGAGCGAGACATGTTCAAGTTAGTGCAAGTTAGTCGCAAGTTAGTGCAAGCGAGTGCAAGTTAAAAAATGCCCGAGTTATCCGGTGCAATTAATAACCACGGCCGTCACGAGGATGTGTGTTAGGACCACGACCACTTCGAGACTTCTGAGGGCATTCGTGACTTGTGAGTGTGCGAGTAAAGACGTCATCATTATGAATAAAGATACTACGCGTCGGCAGTTAGGCGCCCGCGGGCGACAGACAGTCGTGAGAAGGCCGACTACGACGCGCTGAGAAGATGAACGAGCTGCTCGCACGCATAAGGGAAAAGACTTCAGGTTCAGGTGGTTTAAATGGAGAGATAGCAGAGATCAACAGAGCACACCGGATCATCACTGAAATCTACGAAAAGTAACAACGAAACTTTACGAAAATATTCAACAGTCTTTGGAAACATTTTGAAACCGCCAAAGAGCCATTTCTATGGTCAATGGTCATGTGTACTGTGTAATGGGATACACAACAGCAGATCAGACATTCTATAAGCGATTAACATCGAGCGCTTGAACGGTTATCATGGCCATTGGCAGCTGCTCCAATTGGGCCTCTTTTTCTATGAATAGTTACCTGAGACTGGAGCTGGGTGATGGCGCTGCCCCAGATGGGGAAAAGTGAGACGGTCTAGTGCCATTCTACATACCAGGTACTGCAGCCTAATAATTTGTGTCCCACATACCTGCGACTGGAGCTGGGTGATGGCGCTGTCGCGCTCGTCCACCGTGGTCCGCAGGGCGTTAAGCCGCTCCGTGTTCTCACTCGGCGTCCAACCCACGTCCGATAACCTCTGCTCCAGGAGACGCGCCTGCAACGGACAGAACAGGGGCACGGCGTCAGTCAACACCGTTAGTTACTTCTATGTACGAGTAATAGCGGTAGACGTATCGTTTTATCTGCATGTGAACTTGGACATAAACTATGATAGGGAGATCGTAGCGATCTGTCGAAGCTAACCCCGAAGCTCCCCGAAATTAGTCGCACTAGGGAGCTAAGCCGGGAAGTTATTTAAACATAAAAGACATTTATGGTCTCTTGATGAGCCATAAATTTCCCGGAAAGCTTCAATAAAAGTCTGAATAGCCAACTGTCACCCAATCGTCATTATTGTGCTGGTGGAGTTCTGACTGACACTTCAGTCTTTTGACCGACACCTCTATCTCAAAGACACTTCCCAACAACAACAAAAGCACGAACAATGCAAATGAGACCGCTGATCATTAAGTACAAGCGTAGTGAGCTCAGGAGGAATAAAAAATAGTGAAAGATAACGCTAGCACATGTGATGACTTATCAGGCACGGATCAATGTTTTACACAAAAACATTCAACGAAAATCAGTGTGAATTGCAGCATAGTCGAATTTGGACGCGGTACAAACAGCTCAAATGATGAAAGGATGTGCTTGATAATTGTCCATGTCACGATGAATCATGTCCGAGGACCGAGAATATTCTGACAACTGACGATGACTCGGTATTCATCTAAGCAGCAAATACCGTCCCCGAGTCACCCCACCTCACTTCTTCCAATCGTGCACCAATGTCACGCGAGGTGTGCAGTGGGCCGCGAATTGCGAGTCAGCTTGCCGTTCCCACGGTGGTCCGTCTGCTCCCGTCACTGTTCCCGTCACGCTCCCGTCACTGTCCCGTCACAGCGACAACAGACACCTGGACCGCGCGCCGGACAGACGTCCGTTCCCACCGGCCGCGAGACCGTATCGCGACGATACAGAGTATAAAATAGCGGGGAGGTGGACACTCGACCACAACCACCCATCGCGACAGGTCAGCGGACAAGAGCTCCAGATCGCCTGCCGAGATGTTTGCCGCACTGTTGCTGAGTGCGGGGCTCGCCGCGACAGTCTCATCTGAGCTGAGCGTCACCACCTACAACGGAGGGAAGACGGCCGCGGCCGGCGAGCTCATCTTCGAGGACAACTTCGACGAGCTCGACCTGGTCACCTGGCAGCATGAGCTCACACTCTGGGGCGGCGGCGTAAGTAAAGTGCAGAGGAAGAGAGACATGGGGGATCCAAAAGCTTGGAATGGTATGAGGAAAAGGAGGATGAATAAGCTACCGAGTGCTTTGTTTTGTCGGGGAGTCCATGTACTCAAAAAGAAGTATAAATACTAGGTATCTCGCGGGCTCCCTACTAACATTCACAGCTCTCCATGATGTATTGCAGTAGAACCAATGGTACGTGATTTGCAATGTCTTTGACTAAATCTTGAAAAAGCTCGTCCTCGATTGTTCGCAAGAATTTAAGGACAGTTGAAAATTGAAACACAGAATAGATGTTTGACATTACATACATATATAGTTCTTTTTCCTATTAAAATTAATGCATTCTAAATGTCCCAGCGCTACACATCAATAATAGTGGTCTCGACTAAAATATGCAACAATGTCTTTCCACTGCCCTCAGAACAACGAGTTCGAGGGTTACAACAACAACCGAACCAACAGCTACATCCGCGACGGCGTCCTGTACCTGAGGCCAACCCTGACGGCCGAGCGCTACGGCGAGGACTACCTCTACACGGGCACCCTGGACATGAACGGCGGCGCGCCCTACGACCAGTGCACGTGCCCGCTCAACTACGGCTGCGTCCGCCAGGGCAACTCCGAGAACATCCTGAACCCCATCATGTCGGCGGCCATGCGCACGCCGCTCTCGTTCAGCTTCAAGTACGGCCGCGTGGAGGCGCGCGCCAAGATGCCTGCCGGCGACTGGATCTGGCCCGCCATCTGGATGATGCCCGTGAGGGAGGTGTACGGCAACTGGCCCACCTCCGGAGAGATCGACATCGTCGAGAGCCGCGGCAACCGCGACCTGCTGCGGCCCTCCGACAACGTGCAGGTCGGTGTCAAGCAGGTGGCCTCCACGATGCACTGGGGAGCCGACTTCCCCTCGAACCAGTGGCCGCGCACCCACTACGAGCTCAACGACGAGGCCGGCTTCGACGCCGACTTCCACGTGTACGGCGTCGAGTGGACGCCCGAGGGCATCACCTTCAGCGTCGACGGCGCCGACATCGGTAACGTCACTCCGCCGGAGGGCGGCTTCTGGGAGCTGGGCGAGTTTGACCAGGACACCTGGAGGGACAACCCGTGGCAGGGGCGCTCCAAGATGGCGCCCTTCGACCAGGAGTTCTACCTGAAACTGAACGTGGCCGTCGGCGGTACTGGTGTGGCCGGCTCCGGCACCTTCTTCGAGGACTCCTACATCAACGGCAACGGCGCCAAGCCGTGGAACAACACCTCGCCGACGGCTTTCCGCGACTTCTGGGAGGGTCGCGACCAGTGGCTGCCCTCCTGGACCGGCGACGACACCGCCATGCAGGTGGACTATGTGCGCGTCTACGCTCTCTAGAGTACGGTCTGTAGTCACAGTGATGTCAGACGCAGCGGCCTGCGGCCGTGGCGACCTGCTGATATCAAAAGTCGTAGGATATGAGGAAATGGTGATCTGTTTCAGTTGGGAGCAGGGAATACATACTTTAGTACTCATAAATACTGATGACAGATGAATGGTTTATTATAGCCTATTAGAAAGCATACAACATATAATTTAAATCACGACCACAAAAAGACGGACCTAGCCAGGCCGGATGGTTCGATCTTTCACAGGACATAACTATCATCGAGATAAGTGTAGGAATTGGCTGCGACGGTATATACCTCCATACATACACTGACAGCCAACTTTCACAGACTCGTCTGCCGAAACCAACAACCACTAAGGTCGCGCAGAAAACCACAGCTAGCCGCCTCACTGCGACCTCACGGCCAGCCCGGACGGGCCATCAGCTCAGTCCATCACACACCCGGCCAATCAGCTCAACCCATCCTGAGCACGTCCCACACTCGACCAATCAGCTTAGTCCATCCTAGATGACACATCCCTGTCTGGCCAATCAGCTCAGCCGGCGTTAAACATGTCCCTTGTCAGGCCAGTCAGCTCAGTCCGCTATGGACATACCTATCCCTCAGCCCTTCGAAGTTCTGGCTTCAGTGGAGGGGTTCAAGGGGCTATGCTTGATTCAGCTCATCGGCCGAGTGGATTGGAGCAGCAGCATCCCAACAGCAGTAGTCCGACAGCCCCCTCCTTCCACAAACACACTAGCCGTGGTCACACCGATTAGCCGCTGTGATCACTCAATGCTCAACGACAGCCGGCTCGTCACAGTCACACAGCACCAGACACCCATCAGTACGTCACGTAACGCCTGCAATCCGTCACGGGTCGAAATCACTACACATCTATCGGTCCGTCACGTCACCCCTCCAATCCGTCACGACCCGACAGCACCGGGCGCCTATCACCGACAGTGATGGACGACATATCTACATCAATACATCGCAAAAAATGACGGTTAACAGGCAATCACGCATAACGATGTAGACATCCATTACAATCAGCGTTTAATAATCCATCGCGCCCGACCGGCGATTGGCCAACGTGTATACGGATGGCCGTGAACAAATAGCAGACAGAGCGAGCGGTGATATCGTCAGCGGAGGTACGACAGAGCGGGGGGAATAATATCAGTGAGTCCCATATCACATTACGGTGATTACCGTGGCTACTTATATGGCGTGGCGGTTAGGTCACATATTACCAAATAATGTCAAAACACGAGTACGGGTGCACAGCGGACACCACTGCTCAGGCACGTGTATTGTGCAGTCTTTACAACCGGGTCATGACCTTACGACCGCCCCCCTACCACCCACCACGTCATATGCAGCTGAATGGAAGTTATTTATGGGACTCCTTGCAGTATTGCCGCCGCAAATTTACTGGAAAACCGGTACGGCGCTGCACTCTAATTAATCATATGCCGCAGTAAGGACCTACGATGTGACAAAGGCGCACGACGAAGGAGGCAGGAGCGCTACGAAATGGGCACGAGGGAACGCAGCAGGTGGTGTCTGGAACGCAGGGAGGCGCCACTTGAGTGTAGACGGGGTGAGAGCGTAGCGGAAAGCCGGGGCTGAGCTCGCAGTGCGAGGGAGAAGGAGAAGACGAACGATCAAACGTGATACAAACTGCTGCGTTCCCTGCAGGATCATACAAATGATATTCGTACATTCGTTCGCTCATTCAACGTTAAAAATTTATCAGCAACGTACATCATTGCGAATTACTTTCCAAGCAAATTTTGTAACATTGTTCGTACATGTACGGCTTTCTATGAGCGTAGGTTTAAACAAGAAATGCCAATAGCTGGCGTCACGAGTTTGACCTCATGACAGTTCGCAACAACAATTTGCAAGTTCATATGAGTTCGACATAACCTAGAATACCGACATCACTCCGATTCTAATAACATGCCTTTCGTGGCAGCAATCAGCGAGAGCCCATCAGGCTGTCTATTTGACGCGGCTGACCTTAGCATGGCCCCAGCACGACTCAGTTGACAGGGCACGTCCAACTGTCTCAGAAAGCACTATGGTTTCGCCGACATGTCCCGCGCGAATGACAACATGACATCGAGCTTCCAACGTTCCTAAATACACCACCAGTCCAACAAATCCTTTTATATTCCATCCAATCACATACGGATCGTATCGCTCCGCCCAATTCCTTCTCATATCAACCGGGCCCATCCATATCTATCCCGCTTCACCATATCACATCCGACATATCCCGCATTCCTTCGCCCCGTTATACCCCATGTCAACGCGTCCCCTTCCAAACCCGTAACATTCCATCTCATCCCGTATCATTCCCGTCTTATTTCGCCCCATACCGTCCTATATCCTGTCCCATTCTGTCCCATCCCATCTCGTTCACCTG